TTCCAGGTCTTTCTGAAGCTCTCCACAAGTAGTCCTTTTGGTTTTTGGACAACTCTTCTGATGATTATTTTCGCTCATCTGTCAGAAATCTTGCGAGAAGCACATGGTTGTTGCCGGTTTATGGTGAAAAAGATGATCTTTCCACTTCCAGATAATGGCCCAGACAGTGCTCATTGGAACATTCAGAAGTTGAGAAATCCTTCTGTAACCAGTGCCATCAGTATGTTTTGAAACAATAAGGTTGTGAAGGTCTTGATAGAACTCTTTGATATTCGTTTGCACTGAGAAGGGGCAGGATTGCTAATTACTGATAGATTTCAGCTGGTGTCTTGGATTTTTTGGTCCATGCCTTTTTTGCACCTCCCTTTCTTCATGTGTTCAATACTTGTTCCCTGTGTCATTCCATTTTATTACACATAACTTAATTTCTGAACTTATTTGTTTTGGTTTCTTTGTATGTATAGGTTGGGACCATCGTGAAATTTCATGTCACTAGCACCTTTAGAAATATATTTACTGAGAAATGCTGACATATTCAATACTTTTTACCCACTGCATATACTGGATTTTATGCAGCTTTGACACTATACTGGTAATGGCGATGATCAGTGATTTATAGTTGGACTTTGATAGTGTGGTGGGCAATCTGACACTGAGGCTGGCTGGGAAGGACACTGACCTCATTAGTCACACTAATACTGTGATCAGTGCTAATACTGTACTAAGGACACTGTCTGGAAAGGGGCAATCAATAGTTAATTGTGTGCTTCACAATGTGTAATGTGTGTTTATATGTTGCTGCTTTTACTTTACTTTATGGCTGTTTATTCTCCCTGCTTTGCAGGGAGAATAAACAGCCAGATCGCTGTTCGCTGTACAAAGAGTTCTGTGTTCTGTCATTAACTGAAATCAGCTGCCACTCGTGCTGTGTCCAATCAAAGCACGGGTCAGCAGGGGGCCTGCAAACCCGGAAAAAAAGGCTGGGATGTACCTGTAGTACTGTGGGTGGGCTGCAAGCGGTTAAGCTGCAACAGGCATTAGAATGGGATGTGTACATGCCGTGGTCATGCTGCTTTGCTCCTGTGCCAATGTTTACCTGACATGTAGCAATCGGTGGGCGGTAAGCCTGCCAAATGCTACACAGTCAGGCAAATGAAGTTTTGTGGTGTGTTTATAAGCAAAAATGGAGTTTTAAACAGGAGGTATCATATCACTTCTGAAGCACGGGAGATGTAGATGAACGTCTAAACCTACCCTATAGCCTCCTATCGATGAAGCCTCCTTTCATTCAACCAGCAAGTTTCGTTGCGGTCTATTGGGGCACACGGCTGCTGTGTTCCAATATAACATGCTGGTGTTGGCCCCCAAACACACACAGGCCCTGCATGTCATATTGGGACACTGTGGCTTTGTCTGTGCAGCTGTGTCCCAATAGACAGTGTGACAGACCCAACGGGGACAAGGGCTTTTGGAGGGGGCTGCAGATTAGCTTCTTGCCTATTGACCAAGGCCCTGGCATTTGAGGGAGCTCTATTCTTTAATGTGTGCTTGGGGGGACCTTTGGAGTAGTTTACTTGGGATTCAAGACCATGTCTCCCCAAAACACACAGACTGCGAACTGGAGGACCAACATACAGATTTGGGGTCTCTGTGCCCAAATTAGCATTGACTGCTTCAAGCCCCTCCTTCCCAGACTTAGACTCTAAGAAGATGTTGATGTAATTAGCAAACCAACCTGATGTGAGAACTCTTGCTATAATGTGTTTTATTGAGGTGTTATGTGTTTATGATCTTCTCCCATTGTGTGCCTCCTAGGTGTGCATTCCGTTGTTAATTGAGTCACCTATTGTGGGTCTGTTGGCAAGTCCTCTTGGAGGACCCTACTTGATGAGATTAGACTGATGTCAGCTTCACCTCATTATCTGATCAGTGTGGGATGTAATATTTGTTTTATTGTTCATGTGGGGCACTTCCCCTATTTCTGGAGTGTAAATAAACCTGTGTTTAATGTTCAATAAAGAGTTCCAGTTTGGCATCTAAGCTAGTCTCGTCTTGGGTGCAATGCCCAGCTATAATATCTTAGTCCTATGTCCAAGGGCCGAGGAAGCTGTTCTCTGATGGAAGGCACAAGCAGGGTTCCAGGCATTCTGTCATATTTGGTGACAGGCATTGGAATGCTTCCTGCAATCTGGGACATCCAAATTACCACCAGGATCTGAGGTCCAGTTAGCAGGAGAGTTAGACACCAGCCACTATGGAAGAGGAATTTGTAAGGAGGCTGCAAGAGATGCAAGTGCAGCACACAGGGCCAGTGCAGGTCCTGCTGAGATGGTATGACTCTGCCCACTGCCAGCTCTGGAAGGAAGAGCTAGACCAAGAGCAGCGCTGCCAAGGAAACATTCTCTCCATCCTGGAAAGGCACTGGTTGCAGTACGAAGTGCGGGTGTTATTAGGGGAACAACTGCACAAGGAGTGGACAGCTGAGTTAAGCAGGCTTGTCCAGGCAGAGATGCGGCTGGATGAGAGCTACAGCACTCTACGCTGGCATGTAGCCCAAGTGTGCCCTTAGACACCAGGGGACAGCCCAGCAGAAGGCTTTGGCTATGACAGCTTGGGGTTGTTGTACTGGAGGCTGTCAAAGGACCCTGACTTTGGAAGTGAGCTGGAATGGCTTTTGGAGGAAATTATGGATTACACAGACCAGATGCTGAACATCTCGGAAGTGCGCTGGGCACGGGAAGATGTGGAGTTTCTAGCCCCTCAGGAATGGGAGCTGGAACAAGCATATTAAAGACTGTTTGACAAAGCTCAACAGTATACCCAAGCCCCCATGAATGTTATGGATAATGAGTTACCCACTGAAGTGCTGGCACTGGGCTCAAGTGCTGCCAGTCCATGCCCTGGATTTTTAGCAATCCAAGAGACCTGGGATTTAATAGACTTTTCTGTTGATGAGGGAACAACCCAATGAGCCACCAGCAGAAGAGCTGGCATCGGGACAGTGCCCACCTGATCTCTGCCTACAACAATTGGTGGCCCTGCAGGATTGGTGCGAGGCCTCTGAATTTTCACTTTGTTTCCCAGCGGAAGAGCTGGCATCAGCGCAGAGCGCCGCTGGCCTCTGTTCAGCATCAACAGCACTTTTGGAGCTCCAGGGTGGGTATCCCTTCTCCCCAGCAGCAGCCCGATACAGTAGAACTCCCAACCCTAGCTGAAGCAGTAGCAGCGGCGCAGAATACCCCCTGTCTCTGCCCATACACAGTCCCAGCAGAAGTACTGGCAACAGGACAGAGGGTCCAAGACCTCTGCCCCACATCCACAGCAGTTCAGGGCGAGGTGGTAGTCTTCCCTCCCCAGCGCCTGTTTAGTGACTTGGGAGTGCAGGAAGTCATCCTCGCTCCACAGTGGAAGTCTGGGAGATGGAGCAGCCAGCTCATCTCCCCACTGGCAGTTCAGGCACTTGGCAGGAAAGGAATGTGTCCTCACTCTACAGCAGGAGTCTGGAGGTCCAGGAGATGGAGCAGCCGGCTCATCTCCCCAGCAGTTCCACAGTCTGGGAGAAGAGGTGGTCGTCCTCCCTCCCCAGGGGTAGATTCACAGTCCAGAAGAGAAGATGGTCCTTCTCCCTCCCCAGTGGCAGTTCCACAGGCCGGGAGAGGAGGTGATTGTCCTCCATCCCCAGCGACGGTGTGGTGACTCGGGTGTGCAGGAAGTCGTCTGTGCTCCACAGCGTGAGTCCAGGAGTTGGAGCAGCCAGCCCATCTCCCCAACAGCAGTTCCACGGTCTGGCAGAGGAGGTGGTCATCCTCCCTCCCCTGCAGCTGCTCAAGGACCAGGGAGAGGAGGTTGTCCTCCCTCTCCAGTGGCAGATCCACAGGGCGGGAGAGGAGGTGATTGTCTTCCATCCCCAACAGTCACCTAGCACAGAGGAAACTATTCTCTTCCCAGCAAGGATCTGTGCACCTGGGAGACAGTATCAGAGAAATGTCGTCCAAGGAACTGCCTGAAGGTATGGGAGATGGGGTATTTGGATCATCTCCCCAGCGGCAGATCCACAGCCCAGGAGAGGAGGTGGTCATATTCCCTCCCCAACAGTCAGCCTGAAGGGAGGATGTGGGGTCCCCAGCGGAAACGCTAGCAACAGGGCAGACCGCTGCTGGCCTCGGTCCAGCGCCTACATGTCTACAGGGCGTTGGGACAGTCGGCCCGTCTCCCCAGCAGCTGCCCGCACCCCGCAATGGTAAAGACCTCCCCGCTGAGGTGCTGGTACCAAGACAAGAGGGTCCACAACCTCTGCTCCTCCCTCACCAATGACTACCCTGCGGCCAAGAATGGAGGTTATGTGGGTTTCACTTTGCTGTACTAACGCATGTCCAGACCAGGTGGCGGTATGGGACCTGGCTAGTCAACTTTTGAGGGAAGGAATTTGTGATAGACCCAAGCGGGACAGGGGCTTCTGGAGGGGCCTGCGGGCTAGCCTCTTGCCTACTGACCATGCCCCTGGCTTCTGAGGGGGCTTTATTCTTTCATGTGTGCCGGGGGGTGGGTGGAATCTTTGGAGTAGTTTACTTGGGATTAAAGTCCTTGTTTCTCTGTCAGTTTCTTCCAGCAGCACCGAGGACCTCCGTGCTGGGAGGGGGTGGGGTGATCGGTGTCAGTGTCGGGGAAGATCACACCCAACTTCGGGGCTTTAACTCTCCTCACAGACTACAACTCCCACAATGCAATGCGGTCTCTCCCTGGTATTCCTCCGCCGCTCCGGGGCTATGAGGTAGAGAAGTCTCTTTCCCGCCTCCCAGTCCCTCCAGCGGCCCCCCGGTGCACGGTGCAGGGGCCGGAGGGGCGGGAGGCCCCGGTGTGAGGGGGTGTCGGGGAGAAGTCCGGCTGTCTGAGGGCGGCGGAGGGATACGGCGGGGAGTGAGCCTGTCTAGTTTTCGCGCCTTTTCGGTGTCGCCGAGGATTGTGGGAAGGAGAAGTGCGGGGAGACGGCTCAGCGGATAATGATGGAGAGGGACGAGGGCGAGTCCTCCAACTCCTGGGACGGGGGAGCCGGGGAGAGGGTCCGGGAGGAGCTGGAGAGTCTGTGCGGAGAACTGAACTTGGAGGAGGAGACGGCGCTCCGGACACTGAGCAACTTCAACCGGACATGGAGCACCTACAGCCTGGAGGTCAGAGGAGGGGCGGGATATGGGGGGACACAGGAGGAGGGCGCCTCACACTATGGGGGTACACTATACAGGAGGAGGGGCCCTCACCATGGGGGTACACTATACAGGAGAATGGGGTGCTCACACTATGGGGCTACATTATACAGGAGGAGGGGCCCTCACTATGGGGGTACAGGATACAGAAGGAGGGGTCCTAGCACTTTAGGGGTACTCTACACAGGAGAATGGGGTGCTCACACATGGGGGTATGCTATACAGGAGGAGGGGTCCTCACACTATGGGGGTATAATATACAAGAGGGGTGCTCATTATGGGGGTACACTACAGGAGATGTACTCACACTATGGGGGTACACACTACACAGGAGAATGGGGGTACTCACTCTATGGGGGTATAGACTACACAGGAGGAGGGGGGCCTCACTATGGGGGTTCACTATACAGAAGGGGTCCTCACACTATGGGGGTACACTATACAGAATGAGGGGTGCTCACAATATGGGGGTACACTACACAGGAGGGGGCCCTCACTATACAGAGGGAGGGGTCTGCACACTGTTGGGGTACCCTATACAGAAGGAGTCTGCACACTGGGGGGTACACCACAGAAGGGTCCTCACACTATGGGGGTACACTACACAGTAGGAAGTCTTCATACTGTGGGGCTGTACACTCTAGGGGTACACTGTACAGGAGGGCTACTCACACTATGGGGGTACACCACTGGAGGAGAGGTCCTCACACTCTAGGGGTACACTATACAGAATGAGAGGTCCTCACACTATGGGGTACACACTACACAGGAAAATGGAGTGCTCACACTATGGGGGTAAACTATAAAGGAGGGGGTACTCACACTATGATGGGTTTTGGTGACAGGTTCTCTTTTTTGAGACATTCAGGGTACATCACACTGCATCACATTCTTTTCCAGCCTCAATGTCTGGGAAATCTGTGAACGGGAACCCGGTAGTGATGTCATAAACTCACTTCCAGGTCAGGACAAGAAGAAGAGCCCGCAGCAGGGCTAAAGGTTGGGGGGGGGGGGAGGAGGAATACCTGCCCAGCACCTGGAACTACATGTCCCGGGCGTCAGGTGATACAAATGTAACATTCCTGGCATAGCAAAACTGTTACAGGCACTGCAGTGTGTTGCGGCAACGTGTGTTACTGCATTGGAGAAGTGTAGCTGGGGTCCAAGATCATTGAGGAGTGTGCCCATAGATCAGGGCTCGACAAATCCCAAGCGCCATGGTGACTAGAAATTGTGTCCTGGCACCTGGGTTCACATATACACTGTATTGCCCAAAGTATTGGGACACTCCTCCAAATCATTGGATTCAGGTGTTCCAATCACCTCCATGGACACAGGTGTATAAAAATCATCCCCCAGGCATGCAGACTGCTTCTACAAACATTTGTGAAAGAATGGGTCGCTCTCAGGAGCTCAGTGACTCCAAGCGTGGTCCCGTGATAGGTTGCCACCTGTGCAATAAGTCCATCCGTGACATTTCCTGGCTACTGAATATTCCACGGTCAGCTGTTAGTGGGATTATAACAAAGTGGAAGCAACTGGGAACAACAGCAATTCAGCCACCAAGTGGTAGGCCACGTAAAATGAGAGAGCGGGGTCAGCGCATGCTGAAGCGCACAGAAGTCACTAACTGTCTGCAAAGTCAATAGCTAAAGACCTCCAACTTGGTGTGGCCTTCATATTAGCACAACAACAGTGAATAGAGAGCTCCATGGAATGGGTTTCCATGGCCGAGCAGCTGCATCCAAGCCTTACATCACCAAGTGCAATGTAAAGCGTCAGATGCAGTGGTGTAAAGCACGCCGCCACTGGACTCTAGAGCAGTGGAGACCTGTTCTCTGGAGTGACCAATTACGCTTCTCTGTGTGACAATACTATAGGCTGGTCTGGGTTTGGCGGTTGCCAGGAGAACGGTACTTGCCTGACTGCATTGTGCCAAGTGTAAAGTTTGGTGGAGGAGGGATTTTGTGTGTGGGCTTGGCCCCTTAGTTCCAGTGAAGGGAACTCTTAAGGTGTCGGCATACCAAGACATTTTGGACCATTTCATGCTCTCAGCTTTTTGGGAACAGTTTGGGGATGGGCCCTTCCTGTTCCAACATGACTATGGACCTTGCTTTGTGCACTGGTGCGCAAAGACATGGATGAGCGAGTTTGACTGGCCTGCACAGAGTCCTGACCTCAATCCAATAGAACACCTTTGGGATGAATTAGAGTGAAGACTGTGAGCCAGGCCTCCTCCCCCGACATCAGTGCCTGACCTCACAAATGTGCTTCTGGAAGAATGGTCCAACCTTCCCATAGACACCCTCCTAAACCTTGTGGACGGCCTTCCCAGAAGAGTTGAAGCTGTTATAGCTGCAAAGGGCGGGGCCAACTCAATAATGAACCCTACGGACTATGACTGGGATGCCATTAAAGTTCATGTGTGTGTAAAGGTAGGCGACCCAATACTTTTGGCAATATAGTGTATGTGTACTGAATAGGCAATGTTCTGGTTTCTGTGTGATTTCAGTACAGGGGCAATTTTTTTGGCTCTTTCTCCACAACTGCCTCCCAATGACTTCAATGCTAAACCGCCTGTCATTAGCAATCTTATGTGAACACTATCTCCTTATGGCACTATGACATGCGAGTCTGGAATGCACAACTACAAGCTTTCACAGGACCCTTTTCGCAATACGTGTGGATCACATCTGTGTGAACCACCTCAGTAGGAACACATAGCCTGTCATGTGAATCTGTGATTTTGAAAATGTGTCCAGAATCACATATGTGTGAACCAGGGCAGCTCCATTCACACCTGGGTGTTTTGAGATCATGGCAGAGTCGCTGCAATTGCAAAATGCAGGTTCAGGTGTCTCTTTTTTTTTTTTTTTTTTTTTTTCTTTTTCCCTAATGTCACCTAAAATGTGGTGCGGTTTTGCCATGATTGTCGCATGGCATATTGCATCACGTGAAGCTTGTCGCCCAAAAGGTGCCTTGCTCCGGGCGCTGACAACCCATGCTATGGGAAAAAAACCTGTCTCCTAACTTTTTTAGATGCCTCCTAGATTCAAAGCAAATTTGTCAAGCCCTGACATACACTTGGAAAGATTCTGATGGCGCTGAGATACAGCAGAAATCGGCACATTAAAATGGAACTCTAGTAAGAAAATTAAATCCTGCTACATGACTTCAAGCTGGCCCCTTCTGCAGGTATAGCTATGTAAAAAGTACAGGAAATACATGGTCTTACCCTGCTCTGCATATGCTCTGTTGCTCTCTCTTGTCAGGCACTGCTGGATTTGTAGAGGCCGATCTGCTGACAGCCTTAAAGTACAATTAAATCCTCCTATCCTTTACAGCCAAGGAAGCTGCTTCTGTTTGATCTGTAACTGCCATGGTGTGATCAGTTAGGACACTAGCTGTGACAGTTTGGTTGAGGACACAAGCAATTGTCACAGTTGGCAATCCTGGCATTCTGGGAAAACCGTTAAATTGATGGATTTAGCTCCACTTTGATTCACTGCTGCTCTGGGCTTCAGAAAAATGGCAGCCTCCAGCAAGAAGAAATGGGAACAATGCTGGAGGAAATCTACAGCACACACTAATTTTGGTAGCATAATTATTATTGTGGAATGTGTATGTGCCTTGTTAAAGAACATTATTTTTTATCAAGTTGTAGATAAAGTTCTGCTTAGGGGCGGACTGACCATTTGGAAACTCTGGCAGTGCCCGAGGGGGTCAGTAGGGGCCCCATGAGATGCCCCTGGTAGCCTTTTCATAGGCTTTTTTGAGTTTGAGCAACGACACGGGCCCCATGATCCCCTATTGCCCGGGGGCCCCATGATCCCCTATTGCCCGGGGGCCCATGAGTTGTCAGTCCGCCCTTTGTTCTGCTTTAATAGTCGGTTCACACACCAGGATAAAGATCCTTATTTCCAGAAGAGTGATCGTTTACTGCTGGGCCCACTAACGGAGCGAAAATTTGCCGATTATTCTTAGGTCCGATTTTCAGACGAAAAATCGGTCGAATTTCAACCCATGTATGGCCGGCCTTAGTATTCCTAAAAATGTTATAACAGTGTAAGAAACCTATAGTCTTTCTGATATCAATGACAAAGTGTGCAGATCAGATTTAGCTGATTACTTTTGTATTTTGATTTAGTATGATGAGGGGTTGTACAGAACACTTCTAAGTGGTAACACTCAGCTTTGATGCTTTGAAAATAAATTAATTAGGACGTGAGTAAACATCCAGGTTTTTTTGTTTTTCCCAATATAACTGTCGTCATTGCCTGGTTGTTATTCATGATAGGAAACTTATGTAAATTGTTTGGAAACAGGGTGGATAAAAATCAATGATTCTTTTTAAAAAAAATCAAACAAATCGGATTTTTTTGATTTTAATCGGATTTTTTGGATTTAAATCAGATTTTTTTTAAATAAAATGCTTTTTGAGGAACATATATTGCCATCCAAAGGTTATTCCATCATGAAATAAAGATTAGTTTTTTAATTATGTAGAATAAGGCTGTATATGTTTAATTTTTTTGGTAAATAAATTCCATGAATCCATTCACAATGTCATGCTCTTCCAGAGGTTTTTGTAAGATTATTGGGCAGTTTCTCTGCCTACAAGATATTATCACAGATGTTTGGTTTACTTTTGCAGTTCTCAAAACTGAATTTGACTCAGCGGAGATCACATGCCTCTTCTTCACAGCAAAAATGTTATAACATGAACAGAGTTAAGAAAAAGACCTGAATCCTAACTTCTACAAACCTATGAATACAGAATCAACCCCTTCACTGCTAAGTTTCAAGAAGTTCAGTGAATAGAATAGAAACAATATTTTTCTGATTGTTTGGAGTGGAATAGATCTGCACAAGAAGAAAGTGAAACTAAGTGTGAGGAGGAAGGGCTGACAGTCTAAGTGTCTTAAAAAATATATATTTTGTTTAGCCAAATTAGTTAAACATGGATGTTTAAGCAAATCACATATGCTGGAATGTTATTGTTTCAGTTGAATAAATCTATTTAAATTGTTATTATTAAGGTAATGATTATTTTTCTCCTTCCTAAGTACAACAGAAAAGTTGTCCAAATACGAATGATTAACCTATTAAACTGGGGATAAAAAAACTAATATGAAAAGTTGTTGTTCTAAAAATCTTCATCTACTTGCATATTAAAGTTATACCAGCAAGAATTAGTCTTTATGTAGAAAACTAGGATTTAAATCAAGCCTTACTGACTAGTGATTTAAATCGTGATTCAAATCAGTTTGATTTAAATCAAATCCACCCTGTTTGGAAATGACTGGGTATTGTTTTTTAGTGCCATATAATACAGCTGCTTGGCTCTCAACTGTTGTGTTAAATGTATATGAAACTAATGTCTTTGATTCTTCTTAACTTCATGGGTTATGAATGTGGGTTCATTTTATCATGTCTTTGCGTCAATGTTCCATTTCCATGCTGGGGCTTCATTTATATTTATTTTTGTCATAGGGCGACATGAAACACTGGCTTGCGTGTGCATTGTATGCAGAGTGCCGGAAAGGCATCATTCCAACTGTTGGAAGAGGTATCATGGAAGGAAATGGCGTGTCCCTCACTCGTATTCTCCGTTCAGCCAAACTGAGGTATTATGTTAAAAAAAAAAATATATATTTTTTTATAAAAAAAAAAGGGGAGGGTTTAAAATGTATACAATGCATTGAGGTTTATGTAAGGTTTTCACACAACTTTCACCCAAGATGCACTATTTTTTAAACTAGCCCCCATAGTTTGTGCCGCCCACATTAGCTTCAGGTTTTAATCATAGTCGTTAGATTGTAATGGCAAATGCAGTGTATGACCACTTATTTATCATGCATTGACTCCCATGTTAAATGCTGACTTGTTACAAAAAAGCATGGATTTTTTTTCTGCTCTCCAATAGCCTGATTCAATTCTTTAATAAAATGAAGAAGTGGATGGACATGTCAACCCTTCCCCAGGAATTTAGGGAACGAGTTGAACGACTGGAAAGGAACTTTGAGGTATCTACTGTAATCTTCAAAAAATTTGAACCAATATTCATGGACATGTTTCAGAATCGCCATGAAGAGCCTCCTAGACTACCTAGAAGTAGAAAACAAAGGTAAATTGCTTTTCTTCCACTAATAGATGTGCTGCTGGAAAAATTTGGTGGCAGACTATGTTTGCTTTTGTACAGAGACTATAAGTAAAACCCTTATTTCTGTTTCATGCATTGTACATATTAGTTGGTGCATCTTTATTTATTGCAAAATTCCAATTCTGGACACTTTTTTTTAATGCCTTGGGTTTTTATTTTTCCTTCAAAATAGACCAACTCCAGTGGTAGTTTAACCGCTTCAGCACACTCTATAGCAGAAATACTGCTACAGGTTGGCACCAGTGTGCAAAATCAGGCGTGTGTGTGTGTATATACGTGATTTTGCAGTTCTAGATAGGGGGCGCTCACGCGCTGTACTTGTGCCACCATTCGTGGCCTCGGCTGTCAATCACCGGGTCCCGGACGGTGATTTCTCATCGGCACCCGATAATCGATTGCCTCCGAGGGAGAGACCTGTGTATAAACAACACAGATCCATCCCCCGTCAGCTCCTGCACACTGCTTTGTAAGGCTCTGCATAGCAGAGCTATACATAGCAGTGTACTTACAAGGAAACACCGCACACTTGGTAAAACACAGCCCTTTGATTGCCCCACGTGTTAACCCCTTCCTGCCCAGTGCCATTAGTACAGTGTCAGTGCTTTATATTAGCACTGATCACTGTATTGGTGTCACTGGGGATGTCAGTGACATCAAGTTAGTTCCCCCTAGTGTCAAGTCGCTGATAGCCGCCCTTTCTAGAAAAAAATTAAAAAAATAATTCCAGTATCTATACCACCATTTGCAGACGCTATAACTTTCATGTCAGCCAATTAGTTTACATGTATTGGGATTTTATTATTATTATTATTTTTTTTTTTTTTTTTTTTTTTTTTTTTTTTTTTTTTTTTAAGCAAAGACGTAGCAGAATAAATTTTGGCCTAATTTATGGCGAAATTTTTTTTTTTAAAATTTTACTGGACAGGTTTAATAGTTAAAAAGTCAAAAATACTGTTATTTTCTCAAAATTCAGTCTTTTTTCCTTTTGTTTATAGCATGAAAAATAACCGCACAGGCGATCAAATGTCACCCAAAAAAAAGCTCTATTTGTGGAGAAAAAAGGCCGTAAATTTCATTTGGGTGGTGTTGCATGACTCTGCAATTGTCAGTAAAAGTAAAGCAGCGCCGTATCGCAAAAAAAATGGCCTGGTCAGGAAGGAGTAATAACTCCTCTGGAGGGCGAGTGGTTAAAGCTGATCTCCATAGTATAAATAGTTTGCTTGGACTAAGCTGGTCTAAACATACAATTACCTTCACTGCTAGATGTGTGAGCTGTTTAACCACTTGCCTACCAGGCACTTATACCCCCTTATTTACCAGGCCAATTTTCAGCTTTCAGCGCTGCCGCACTTTGACAATTGCGCGGTCATGCAACATTGTACCCATATGAAATTTTGATCATTTTTTTCTCACAAATAGAGCTTTCTTTTGGTGGTATTTAATTGCCACTGGGCGCTTTACTTTTTGCGTTATAAATAAAAAAAGTGCAAAAAATTTGAAAAAAAAAAAAAAAGTTTCTTTGTTTCTATTATAAAATTTTTCAAACAGGTATTTTTTCTCCTTCACTGATGTGCGTTGATGAGGCGGCACTGATGGGCACTGATAGGCGGCACTGATGGGCACTGATAGGCAGCACTAAAGGGCACTGATAGGCAGTAATAATGAGGTGGCACGGATAGGCGGCACTGAGACAGCACTAATGAGGTGGCACTGATAGGCGGGTACTGATAGATGGCACTGACTGGCACAACCCCTGGGCACTGACTGGTGGCACTGACTGGCAGCACTGGTGGGTGGGCACAGGTGGGTGGCACTGGTAGGTGGGCACAGGTGGGTGGCACTGGTGGTCACAGGTGGGTGGGCACAGGTGGGTGGCACTGCTGGGCACAGGTAGGTGGCACTGCTGGGCACAGGTGTGTGACACTGCAGAGTGGCACAGGTGTGTGACACAGAGTGGCGGAGTGACACTGCAGAGTGGGGTGTGTGACACACAGAGTGGGCACAGGTGTGTGACACTGCAGAGTGGCACAGGTGGGTGGAACTTGCGGGTGGCACTGCTGGGCACCGATCATCAGGGCACTGATCATCGGTGCCGATCCCCGCTCTGACAACTGCCGGTTCTCGGCAGTACTTTCCTCACGATCTGACAGCGTGAGGAAAGTGCAGCCGAGAACCGGCACTTGCATTTCCCTCTGATCAGCGTGTCATTGGACACCGCTGATCACGTGGTAAAAGGCCGCTGTGATTGGCCTTTTACCACATCACGTGATCAGCTGTGTCCGTAGGACACAGCGATCACGGAGATCGCCGGGTGCGCGCGCGCATTCTGGGGAGGACGTCATATGACGTCCACTCAGAACTGGCCGGCCGCAGTGAAGCCGTCATTCGGCTATCTGCGGTCGGCAGGTAGTTAAACTGTATGTATCTTCAGCTACATACAGTATACAGCACTGTGTTCAGGCAGTGGGATGGGAACTTTCTGGTCCACTCCCAGGACAAAATAGTCAGGTTTAGTGCTGTTTAGCCATTCACGAGGGAGCCTTCTATTCTTTGAATAAATACAAAGCTTCTTCTGATTGGCAGAGGCATAGAGGCTTATGAATGTCATGATTTCTGACTCAACCATTCAGGGAAAGCTTTGTATTCAATCATACAATGCAAAGCATCCTGTGAATGACTGAGCAGTGCTCAGTCTGACTTGTTTTTCTTCAGAAAGTGAGCTGGAAAGTTCCTATCTTCCGGGCACAGCGGTGTACACTGTATGTAGCTGAAACTGCATACAGTGCATATATGTGAAGTAAATGGTTTGTGAGGACCAGCCTGATCCAAACAAACTATCCAGGGTGACAAGCCATGCTTATGCTGTGCACTCCCCTGTTATCAGCCCACGTTACAAGCGGCCACTCCTGCAAGAAACAGTTCTAAAAGCTAACTAGACAGCGGTTCCTGCAGGGAGCCTTTCTGTCAACACACATGCTGCTGGTGACATCACCTGAACATGTGACGCGTTACAACTTAGTACCGTCTTGGTTCTGTAAAGTGTATGAGACACATAAGTCACGTGATGGCTAGAAATATAGGCGGAAAAGGGTATTCACACTTTTTTATTTTTTGAACAGTTTTCACATGGATTGCTTGTTTGTTCCCTGCTAAATTATTGTTAGAGTAACAAAGATTTACATAATACTTTATTCGTTTTGACTTTTTTTTTTTTTTTTTAATTTCTGTTTAAGGAAGTTGCAGTGTAATAGTAAAGATCTCTTCAACTTCTGCTGGACATTATTTGTATATGCAAAGGGTGAGTACACAATGTATTTACTTTTATTTCATGAATTTTGATTTTGACACAACTTGTTAAGATTTGCTAACAGGTAACTTAAAGTGTTACTAGAGTCAAAATATTTGACTCCTGCTGCTGCTTGAGTGCTGGGAAGAGGAAGAGCGAGGAGAGAGAGATGCAGTCATGCACAGTGGTGGATCAGTTGAAACTTTTCTGTACTCACAGAATTAAACTGTAAGGCCTGAACTTATCTCTACGTAATGTAACTGCATTGAAATGCTAGAATCCATTTTGTCCTTTTATATTCTATTAGAACACAAAGTAAATCTAAGTAACTTTTTTTTTTTTTTTTTTTTGTTTTACCAATTAATACAGATTGGTATACATTTTGGATATTATGGTTTCAACATTACTAATTATTTTACGTTTATATTTCAACATCTGTATGCAACGGAAGAATTTAGATAATTAAGAAATGTCAGTACAAATGACCTCAGCAAATACCTGTAAGCTGTACAGGTAGAAAATTTTTTTTTCATATAGCACTTGGGTAATACATTATTTTTAAGGGACACTAGTCCCAGTGTAACCAGTTTTGTCAAGAGTAAGTTTATAGCCTTTTAACAAGCTGAATGTTGGAGGTCAACTCTCGACATGGCACAGGACTTTTTGGGAAAAATCCTAATCCTATATTGCCCCTTTAGGTAATTGGGATCATTTTTAGTAAAGAAAATGGACATCTTGAGTGACATCATTAGGAGAGATCAGCTTTGCCTGCTTAGGTTTTTTGGGTGATAAGTTAGGAGACGAGGAGAAGGGACAAAGACGGGGGACAACAGATGGACACACACAGAAGTGAGCTGACCTAAAGCTGAAATCACTGATACCATAGAATCTATATTGGTAATGTATACCTTTCATTTTTCTGCAGGCAATTTGTCTCACTTTATATCTCCAGCTAAACCATTTAGTCGGTTATGGTTAGCATCGGAGTTGATTTGAAATAATTTTAACTGCAGTATATAAATTATCTTCTTTTCAGTTCTCGGAAGAGGGAGTTCTCTTTGGAATATCCCCAAAGCTGTTTTCAGTTTCTAGTCAATGGTTTAGTTGGTGATATATAACAAAATAGACAACTTGAGAGAATCTTGCTTTTATTATTGTTTGAACTTTAGCTCTGAGAAAATCCGTATATAACTTATGAAAACATGCAGGGATCTGGAATTAAGGAGATTCCCTACTAATTTTCCTAAATCAACTGATAATCCGAGTTCTTTATTTGCGCTAATTTGAAGACGCAATAATGTACAAAAATATAAATAAAAGTCCAGTGCAAAATGGTAATGAAATGAAGTATAATAGGTGATGCATAATAAACCAAAATAACAGTACAATAATCTAATCAAAACTAATGGTTAGACATTTGAACCAGTAATTATTTTCAAATATTAATGAATTAGGACAAGCTGTCTAGAAATGCAGCATAGGAAACTATCAGTAACTCAGTAGCAAATAACAAAGGCTATGCAAAGTGATCATGTGATCTCTCTACAACCAGATTTTCAAAGCTCAAAGTGTACCTTGGCTTGAATTGATTTAGAATACCATCCACAGGCCAATCCAATAAGCTTAGAATCTGAGGCCAAGAACAAATATTACACTAAATGGTCTATTTTGTCATATACTCAGCTAAACCATTGACTAGAAAGTGAAATTAGCTTTGGGGATATTTCAAAGAGAATCCTCCCCCCAGAGAATAGAAATGGAGATAATTTACACTGCAGTTAAAATACTTTCACATCAACTCCACCGCTATCTATAACCAATATCAAACTAAGCGGTTTCGCTAGAGATATAAGGAGAGTACAAATTGCCTGAAGAGAAGTTTTATACGTTACCAATATAGTTACTATGGTATATTTGATGTCAGCTTTAAGTCAGCGCACTTCTGTGTGTGTCTGCTTCCATCTGTTTTCTTAACTCCGGTCTTGTGTGCTGTCTCTCACAGTCATCAAACGTTTATCACCCACAAAAACCTAGGCAGGCAAAACTTATCTTACCTACTTATGACATCACTCGAAGTGTCACTTTCTTTCCTAATTACCTGAAGGCAGTATAGGATTAGGAATAATTTTGGATTTCTCCTAAAAACTCCTGGGCTTTGTCAAGAGTTGACCTCTGACCTCCAGCTTGTAAGAACCTAAATTTTAAGAGCTAGCTGCTCTTTTGACAGGACTGGTTAGACAAACTGGGACCAGTGTCACTGAAAATAATGCATTGCCTAAGTGATTATGGAGAAAGGGGGGGGCGGAATTCTACCTACACATCTTACAGACATTCGTTGAGGTCATTTGTACTGAGATTTCTTAATTATCTTACCTCCTCCTGTAGCATACAGACGTAATATAATGGACTCAAACTAATTAAAATGTTGAAAACATAATATCTACAATATATATACCAATATCTATTGTTAAAAACCAGTTAATATAGATAAAATATATACAGTGGGGCAAAAAAGTATTTAGTCAGCCACCAATTGTGCAAGTTATCCCACTTAAAAAGATGAGAGAAGCCTGTAATTGACATCATAGGTAGACCTCAACTATGAGAGACAAAATGAGAAAATAAATCCAGACAATCACATTGGCTGATTTGGAAAGAATTTATTTGCAAATTATGGTGGAAAATAATTATTTGGTCACCTACAAATAAGCAAGATTTCTGGCTCTCACAGACCTGTACCTTCTTCTTTAAGAGGCTCATCTGTCCTGCACTCATTACCTGTATCAATGGCACCTGTTTGAACTTGTTATCAGTATAAAAGACACCTGTCCACAACCTCCAACAGTCACACTCCAAACTCCACTATGGTGAAGATCAAAGAGCTGTCGAAGGACACCAGAAACAAAATTGTAGACCTGCACCAGGCTGGGAAGACTGAATCTGCAATAGGCAAGCAGCTTGGTGTGAACAAATCAACTGTGGGAGCAATAATTAGAAAATGGAAGACATACAAGACCACTGATAATCTCCCTCAGTCTGGGGCTCCACGCAAGATCTCACCCCGTGGGGTCAAAATGATCACAAGAACGGTGAGCAAAAATCCCAGGACCACACGGGGGACCTAGTGTATGACCTGCAGAGAGCTGGGACCAACATAACAAAGGCTACCATCAGTAACACACTATGCCGCCAGGGACTCAGATCCTGCAGTGCCAGACGTGTCCCCCCTGCTTAAGCCAGTACATGTCCGGGCCTGTCTGAAGTTTGCTAGAGAGCATTTGGATGATCCAGAAGAGGATTGGGAGAATGTCATATGGTCAGATGAAACCAAAATAGAACTGTTTGGTAGAAACACAACTCGTCGTGTTTGGAGGAGAGAGAATGCTGAGTTGCATCCAAAGAACACCATACCTACTGTGAAGCATGGGGGTGGCAACATCATGCTTTGGGGCTGTTTCTCTGCAAAGGGACCAGGACGACTGATCCATGTACAGGACAGAATGAATGGGGCCATGTATTGTGAGATTTTGAGTGCAAACCTTCCATCAGCAAGGGCATTGAAGATGAAACGTGGCTGGGTCTTCCAACATGACAATGATCCCAAACATACCACCCGGGCAACGAAGGAGTGGCTTCGTAAGAAGCATTTCAAGGTCCTGGAGTGGCCTAGCCAGTCTCCAGATCTCAACCGAATAGAAAACCTTTGGAGGGAGTTGAAAGTCCGTGTTGCCCAGCGACAGCCCCAAAACATCACTGCTCTAGAGGAGATCTGCATGGAGGAATGGGCCAACATACCAGCAACAGTGTGTGCCAACCTTGTGAAGACTTCCAGGAAACGTTTGACCTCTGTCATTGCCAACAAAGGATATATAACAAAGTATTGAGATGAACTTTTGATATTGACCAAATACTTATTTTCCACCATAATTTGCAAATAAATTCTTTCCAAATCAGCCAATGTGATTGTCTGGATTGTTTTTTTCTCATTTTGTCTCTCATAGTTGAGGTCTACCTATGATGCCAATTACAGGCCTCTCTCATCTTTTTAAGTGGGAGAACTTGCACAATTGGTGGCTGGCTAAATACTTTTTTTCCCCACTGTATGTATATGGAGATAGAATATGGTCATTTAAAAGCCAAATTACTTCTGCAAGTATTAACTTCGTATAATAACAATAATACAATTGACATTTTTGCTTAAAATAATCCTGTCAACTAATCACACCATATGTAATGTAAAGTTTAGTGTGTGGTGTTTTTTTTTTTTTTTTTTTTTTTTTTCTATCTGAGACAGACCCTCTCAATTAGTCCTCATGCACACTGGATGTTTTTATAGCTGCTGTTTTTGGCTTTTGACGTTTTTTTCTTTATACAGCCAGTAAACTCCCCAGCATGTTATCCTATGTATCCATGCACACATAGACTGTAATCAGCGGTTTTTGGCTGGAAACCCCAACCCCCGCTCCCCCCCCCCCCTCCCGAACTTGTGAGGTTTTGTTTTAGCTGTAAATCGTGGCAAACCAGCGTTTTTGGACTTTTTTTTTTTACGCAAAAACGTGGCTAAACACTAATACAAAAACGCTGAAAAACTCACATTTTTAATGTGACTTTACACAGCTAATGTTACCAGCGTTATTAAAACGCCCTGTAGGCATAGAGCATACATCTTGCCAATTTGTACCATGTTCAGTTCTTATCTCTTAGGCGTTTGGTACTACCATACCCCCCAAATTTATAACCTGGGAAAGTATGCAGCAAGAAACTGAGAATTTCTGCTGTTAAAATCTTTGTTTAGAAACCATGAAAATAGAATATTAAATAAAAATGGCTTCCAGCATGTCCATGTTACATTTATAAATTCAGGCCTTACGGTTTAATTCCGTGAGCCCAGAATATTTCCGACATTATTAATAAATATATATATTTTTGCACACTGTTGCTTTTTTATTTCGTCTTCAAATTAGTGCAGATAAAGGTCTTGGGTTATCAGTTGATCTATGAAAATTAATAGGGAATCTCCTTAATTCCAGATCCCTGCCTGTTTTCATAAATTATATACTGATTATTTTTTTCAGAGCTGAAGTTCTGACAGATCTATTCTCATTCTTCCTAGATTGTAAGCTCTAACGAGCAGGGCCCTCTGTTTCCTTTTGTACCAAATTGTATTGTAACTACCTTCTTTTTGTACATCTACCTTCATTTTGTAAAGCGCTGCGCAAACTGTTGACGCTATATTAAACCTGTAGTTTAATAATTCTCCCCACTCTTCCCCTTCATACATGGAAGGGGGCGGTACATCAGGGAAATGGAAAATGTTTTGTTTGCTTTTTTTTACCTTAATGCAAGGAGGGGGGGTGGCAGAAAAATAGAAAATAGTTTTTTTTGCATTACAAGGAATGCATTAAGGTAACGTTTTTAGCCTTAGTATCACTTTAAACAATTTAATAAAAACTAAAGATTTATGTAGCTCAGTGCTTGTTTAAAAAAAAAAAAAAAAAGAGATATAAGCAAATGTTGCCATTCTTTATATGAAACAGTCTAGGGGCTTTAAAGGGAATTTTTATAGTTTTTGTACATGATTTCATGTCCTTTTTTTCTTTCTTAGGAAATTTTAGTCTGATTGGCGATGATTTGGTTAACTCTTATCACTTGCTTTTGTGCTGCCTGGATTTGGTTTATGTCCATACTTTGCAGTGTTCCCATAAGGATGACCTTCTGAATCCTTCATTTACTGGTAGGTTTTCTGAATGTATACACTTTATCAGCTAGTGGTGCTGCTTGATTGTGAATAAGTTTTTGTTTTGTACATTTTATTTGTGTGGAAAAGAGTTTTTTTTCAGTGTCATAATCTCACCCACTGAATAATGGATGGTTTTCTTATATGTGGATAATATAGGGATTCATAAACATAATTGCAGCCTCTGTTGAGGATATGAAATTTTTATAGAGCAAATTGGTTACACAATCAGATCTAAATCAGGCTGCTGGTAGTTTTTAGCTGTCTGTGACAGTTTTTTGTGCATTTTTTAATCCTGGCTTGGAATCAGTCAATAGAGATGTACATTTGCACAGGTCTGAGATAGGTTAGCAGTGGAGAGGACTCTGTACATATGCTCAATGAAGATGTGGTTAGGGGCCTTTTTAATTAAAAAAAAAAAAAAAAAAAAAAAAAACACATTTGGATTACAATAAAGAGAGCAATGTTAATTGGAGGAACTTTATCATTTGAATGAATATAAGATGGAGAATCACCATACAAGATGGAACAAATGGGAGGAATTCAAAAAGTCAAGGCTAGCCTTAGAGGTTATGGGGGATTAACATGGAAACATATTGTTGTTCTTTTATAGGGATTTCGATCTCCAGAAATGAACAGGAAAATGCAGAGCAGAAGGGGTCAGGGATTGGATTGGGGGGGGATGGGTAGTATATGGGGGGGGGGGGGGGAGGGATGAAACGGTAAATGTTTTGATAATATGTTAAGGTTATAATGAGTATGTTTGTATAACTTGTTTACCTGAAAAATTAATATTTCAATTTAAAAAAAAAAAACAAAGAGTAGATGCACTGCCAAATTTGGATAAAGACGGTGAACACACAAAACCGAGCACAACTATACAGTGACCATCCCAGAAGGAATATGTGACGAGCTACAAATCATGGCAAATAGACATAGAGTAATCATACATGAGGATAAGAGGCACAGCTAATAGAGTAGGAGGTTTGAGAGTGTACTTCTTTTCTGGCTAAATCAATCACCAGGTGGTCTTATACTGCAAAAGAGAATGAAGTAAAATGTAGTTTATGGAAAACAGTAACAAGATTATGTATGACTAGGCACAAAAACTAGTAACGGTTGAGGAAAATTATCAGAAGGAGGAGGTAAAATGGGCAGAAGAACAGGGAGCAGAAGGAAAGGTGGTAGAGAGAGAGTAAAAAAGTAAATAACCACTTGCCCTCAAGAAGATTTACTCCCCTTCCTGACCATGCAACGCTACACCCAAATTAAATTTTACATTTTATTTTTCTCCACGAATTGAGCTTTCTTTTGGTGGTATTTGATTGCCTGTGTGTGTGTGGGTTTTTTTTTTTTTTTTTTTGAGCTATAAAAAAAAAAAAACAGTTTTAGGAGAAAAAATATTTTTGACTTTTTTTTGCTATTAAACCTATCCAGTAAAAAAAATTAAATTTTTTTTTTTAAAATTGGTCATAAATTTAGGCCAAATGTATTCTGCTACATGTCTTTGCTAAAAAAAAAAATAAATGTGTAAATATGTGTAAATTTGTTTGTTAAAGTTTTAGCGTTTACAAATGGCAGTATATATACTGGGATTTTTTAAATTTTTACTAGTAATGGTGGCGAACAGCGACTTGTAGCGAGACTGCAGTGGGCATTCTGACACGGGGGGGGGGGGGGACGACGGACGGACGGACGGACTCCCTCCCTTGGTGTCACTGTCATCCCCAGTGACACTAATACAGTGATCAGTGCTAATAAAAAGTACTGACATTGTACTAATTGCACTGGGCAGGAAAGGGTTAACATGTGGGGCAATCAAAGGGTTAACTCTGTGCTGGGCATTTTTTACTATGGGGCTGTGTCTGTGAGCACACTGCTTTGCATGGCTGTGCTGTACACAGCCATTCAAAGCAGTGTGCACAAGCTGTCAGGGAGTAGAACTGTTTTGTTTACAGTTTCCCCCCGGAAATGTAAAATCGTGTATATATACGTGATTTTGCTCACCCGTGCTGTCCTGCAGCAGTATATCTGCTATAGGGCAGACGGGAAGCGGTTAAATATCAATCAGGGCCTTAGCCACCGCCCGATAACAATCCAAAGTTCGTAGAAGTGTGGATGAGATTATGTTGGGATAGACTAGCGAATGTCTTTCAAGATATGTGACCATGTACTAGTGTTGGGTTTTATTGCATCACAGTGCTACTTTAGAGCTGCTAATGTATGAATGAAGTTGAACTTTGAGGCCTTGTTCACACCGTATGCAGAGACATGAGTTTTTCTGCGCATGTTCTGCAAGGGCACAAAGAAAAACTATTCTGTGTCCTACTCACAACGCAACACAAGTATCACATGCAGATTTTTTTTCTGCGCAGGAATCTTCATCATGTATGTGTAGTTTTCTGCACAGAAAAAAAAAAAAGTAACGTAACATCAACATGGTGGTGTGAACAGGGCACATTGAGAGCAAATGTTTTCTTTGTGTCCTTGCAAAGACTTGAATAATATCGCCTCTGCACATGGCGCGAAGCATATGCAAGTCAAATCTGCGCCTCTCCATCAGATTTTATGCACATATGGTGTGAATGAGGCCTTTATAGTAAGTCTGCCTCACAGCTGCCATTGCAGCATTGCCTTGGTGTGTGACAGGATTGCTAAATGCCCCACACTATTTGTGCAAAGCTGTTAAAAATAAATAAAACGTGGAAATATGTAGTCTGCATCTAGGCAAAGTTATAAGATATGTAAATGGCATTCATTCCTGCCTGGGGTGATTTTTCTTGAACAATGGGAGATGAGAATTATATTGAGGTACTTTTTCTTTTTCCTGCCTGTCTTTGTTGCTTTTCTTGGAGGCAAAATAGTCTTTGCAAATAGTGAGATCCCAGTGACCTTACAATGCTAACACCACAAATGTTGGAAAGGAATACATAAAAATTGTATGCGTCCCCTTAAATTAACAATCTTTTTCTTGTGTAAACAGCACAGTTGCCAGCTCCTGATATGGATAGCATTGATGACGATCCTCCCTGTATTATCAACTCACTGTGTGAGTACTACGATGGGCTTGCAGTTGAAGCCAAAGGGATAAAAGAACATTACTTCAAGCCTTACATCTCAAAACTGTACGACAGAAAGGTATATTTGTCCGTGTAGTGTTTTCTTTCTAGGTTTTGTGAAAAATGTTGCTCGTCTTGCATTACTCGTATCGGTTCTCTGAATGTTCTTTGGAGATAGTGAACCTCTGATTGTATACGCTTGACACCAGAAGGTTGAAATAATAGGATTGCTTGACCCTTGGTATGACACCTTATTTTAGGTGTGGAGCTTTTACCCAAAGACATTCATATAAATAGACAAAAGAGAAAAGGTGTGTGTGTGTGCGTGTAAATTAAATCTTGTACAAATACACTACTTGGGGATTAAAAAAAGCTCAAGAATAAAAACAAAGCAAATGAGCGACACTATTTGGCGCAATTTGGCATAATTGGGTAAATGTCTGCTTTTCTGGGAAGCCAAGTTCAACAATTTTGCAAATTTCAAAGACTGAAGATAAGTGATCAGGGTCAGTTTTGATTCAGTTTGCAAGTGCAGGACTTTAGAGCAGCGAAAGGAGGAATTCAACTTTGGCCTATAACCTTTCAATAAATCTGTCTTACTACTGTTTAGCTTTGCTTTGCCTTGAGACAGGATTGATAAATGTCCCTTTTTATGTATTCCTGGAGATCAGGGCTTGACAAATCCCTGGTTATCACAGCAACCAGAAACAATGTCAAGGATGCCATCAGGAGGGACAGGCCATATACAAGTAGGGGGCCCAGGTGTTCTGAGGGGCCCCAACCAGGGCCATCTCTTAACCTGGGACAGCTGCTGTCAGTGTTGACCGACTGCCAGGATGGAGTGGTAGGCAGATGTGTGCAGGGAGCACAAAAGTACATGTAAGAGGGGACAGAGACCCCCCGTAGAGAGAGGTTACTTCATAGAACTAAATGTATCCAGATATATTCACTTTGGCTACCAGGTATAGCAACTGTCCGTACATTTATGAACCATAAGTAGCAATATTAAAAGCAGATTTCTTTGGTGTGCATCTACAGCAGGGTAGAAAGATCAAGCATATGAATATCATCAGCTGTGACCTAGTTGGTGCAGTTCCGATGAACAAGGACAGCCACATAGGTAACTACTGCTGCACCCAGATCCAAGACGAGATATCTCTCTCACTGTTACTGATGGGTGTACTTTTTCAGCTTAGTCAGGACCCATCTGAGGACTCAACGATTCACTCAATGATTAACTCTCCCAGGATATGTGCTGTGTCAGAGCACATTGTGCATGGACGGCTATTGCTGACTTAACCACTTCCCGACCATCCTATAGCAGAAATACTGCTACATGGTGGCATGGGTGCGCAAAATCACATATATATACCCCCTACCCACTCGCCATTCGCAGCTGTCAATCACCGGCTCCCGGCCGTTGATTGCCGAGCATCTCTGATGGGGAGGAGAACTGTTTGTAAACAAAACGGTTCTCCTCCCTGTCAGCTCGTGCACACTGCTTTGCATGGCTGCACATGGACACAGCACATAGTAAAACCGCAACAACCCTTTGTTTGCCCCTCATGTTTACCCCTTCCTGCCCAGTGCCATTAATACAGTGTCGGTGCTTTTTTTTAAGCACTGATTGGTGTCCCTGGGGATGTCAGTGACACCAAGTCAGTTCCCCCCAGTGTGTCAGAATGCCCACCGCAGTCCCGCTATAAGTCGCTGATCGCTGTCATTACTAGTAATGATAGAAAAAAAAATCTCAGTATCTATGCCTCCATTTGTAAACGCTATAAGTTTCATGTAAACCAATTAATTTACACATATTGGGAGGTGTAGCAGAATACCTTTTGGCCTAAATTTATGACTAAATTAGATTTTTTTTTTAAACATTTATTTTTACTTGACATGTTTAATAGCAAAAAAATCTAAAATATTGGTTTTTGCTCTCAAAATTGTTGGCCCTTTTTTTTCTTTTTTCCTAGCAAAATAAATAAACGCACAGGCAATCAAATGACACCAAAAGAGAGCTCAATTTGTGGGGGAAAAAAAGGACGTAAATTTCATTTGGGTACAGCGTTGCATGACCATGCATGCAATTGTCAGTTAAAGTAAAGCAGCGTCGTAATGCAAAAAAAAATGGCCTGATCAGGAAGGGGGGGGGGGTAAATCCTCTGAAGGACACGTGGGGCTAAACTCCATGCAGCAGTGAGAGCGATATCTCTCGTCTTGGATCTGTGTGCAGCATTAGTTACCTATGTGGCTGTCCTTGTTGATCGGAACTGCACCATCAACCATCTAGGTCACAGCTGATGATGTATGGGACCTTAACAGACATGTACACTAGCAGTATAAAAGATCTTCAGCAGGGCTTGACAAATTTGCTTTGATCTAGGAGCCAGCTAAAAAAAATAGGAGCCAGGTGGGGGGACAGGAGGGGGAAGAGTCACGGGAGGGGGGACAGTGTAACACACAGACACCTTGGGTAATGTCAATCCTCCCAACTCTCACCTGTCCAGTGATGGGAGCTATATCTCTGTCTTGGGTCTGCTTGTAGCAATAGTTACTTGAGTGGCTGTCCTTGATCATTTCATTGGAACTGCACTATCAACCATCTAGGTCACTGCTGATGATATTTATATTCTTCTTTCTATCCTCCTGGCACACCACAGAAATCGTCTTTTACTATTGCTACTTCTGGTTCATAAGTGAATGGACAGTCATTATACCTGGTAGCCAAAGTGAATATGACTGGATAGAGTCGGTTATGCCTGATTGTATTTCTATATGCTATAGAACTTGATGCGCAGCTTACCGGGACTGCCCATGTAACTATACTAGTACCTCCATATACAGTATCTATAATACACAGTATAATGGATAGGTAAGTCACAAAGACCCGCATTTTTTTTTATTCTCCCAGAGGGTTTTTGAGGGATAGACAAACTTGTAAATTCTCACGTTCCTGTGTATTCACCTCAAAGTGGCCACTATGTATGATAGTTGTGTTGAATGTATGTGGTAGTGGTGGACAATGTTGTCGGGGCTGGCAATGGTTGAGTATTTTATATTATTTAAAATAATTGTGTATTGTCCATGTAATGTTTCTAGATTTATATACAATAAACAATATAAATTTTTATTAAGATACCTGCCTATTTAGTTCTGTGAAGTAACCTCTTTCTCTACAAGGGGGGGTTCTATCCCCTTTTACATATATTTTTGCGGTTCTATTGTGGTTACACAGAACTACACTTAAGTGTGGGCATACCTTGGTTATAGCTCTTTGGGTGGCCTGTTATTAAAGTAGGGTGTAGGGGACAGTCGGGGCCCGCTGTCAGGCAGGCTCCGGACAGGAATGGCAGTGTGCGGCTGAGTGGGTGATGCTAGGAGAGGACCCTATGAAGGAGGAGGAAGAAGAGGAGCAATGAATATGAATACAGTGGGAGATGGAGGTCTAAGGTCTCCAGATCCTTGATAAAAGGATTTACTGGTGCCACACCCCTTAATTCTAGACACTAAATATAACCCTAACCAGAAAAAGCTAGTGGGGTTTTAAAGGCATCATACCATGCATAGAAAAAAACCTTTGAAAAAAATGAAATAAATACCCTTTATTAATAAAAATAAGCCACCATAATGGTGAGACATAGCAATTAGACACATTACTTAAAAATCACATTATACTCAAACACAATGGACAAACAATATTCCAAAGCGTAGCCTACTAACTCATATAGAGAACTGGAAAAAAAGGCGCTGTGGAAAATCAAAGAATGCTCCTGTCGACTTGACAAAGCGCAACTGCGCGAAACATGTCGTCTTGGTAACCCCACATATGCTCCCAGCTGAAGCCAACGCCGGACACTGCCTTCGTTTGCCATGGTGACACCACCCAGGACGCTGGTACGCTGACACCACGTGATTTGAAGTCGACAGGAGCATTCTTTGATCTCAGCTCCCCTCAGAGCGGACGGGCCGTCATTGGAATCACACTGTCCACTTCAGGCTGGTTAATTTTATTATACTTGCTACTTTATCTCACCCAATAAAGATGCACCTCCACTAAGGTGCTTGTCTGAGAGCATTTTCCACAGCGCCTTTTTTTCCAGTTCTCTTTATCATGCATATGATTAACAAGGCAGCAGTGGTGAGCTCATGATTAACTGTTCACATGTTTCCACCTGGAGTGGCCTCTCTGCGCTCATTTGTTTGAGTTTTCCTACTAACTCATATAACAGGTTAATATGGTTGTATAAATCAATATTCTTGTAGCTGTTTCAACATAGTTTGTACAAGTTAATACTTTGTTGGTTACTCCAGCAGAATTAGTATAGATTGATTCTTTGTTCGTTGCTTTGATACGTTTCACGGGGCAAGGCCTGCTTCTTCAGGGCGACAAAGTATAAGTTTCGGTTGGTGATATTAATGACTTCATATAAGGCCAATGAAAAACAACCTGAGCACTTGATTCAAATATGGATGGAGAGGACCCCTCAGCCAAAGGCATCAATAGTCGCCAATCAAGTGAAATGAACAATCCACAGTGTAAAACATAGTGAATAGTGTTCTTAGATGTCACAATGAGCATCCAAGAAGGCTCCAGAGCAATAATGAAATGGGTGTCAAAACAACCTCTAAATTAAGAGGGTTTTTCTGGTTGGGGTTATATTGACAGGAAGAAGAGGAAGTCAGGGTGAAGCAGCCTCCCGCTCTTTGTTGCTGCCACTGGAGATGCTAGTGGATATGGGATACAGGCTCACAGTGTCCCTCCTGGCACCAGATCCTCTCCACTGACACCATCTGGAGGAGCTGCTGCTGAACAGCTGAAAGCTTGGGAGGATTGGCACTTCCCAAGGTGTGTGTGTGTCAGTGTCACATGCTGCCCCCCCATGTCCTGCTGCCTTTTTTAGCTGGCTCCTGGATTTGAAGGAAATTTTGTCAAGCCCTGCTGGATCTGTTATATTTCTAGTGTATACGTCTGCTAAGGTCCCATGCATATTAAGTTCACTGGTAACACATTGGCATGAATTCAATATATCACAGGTGTTTTCAGCTCTAGGTATATTTATCTGGCTCCTTAGAATGTATACCAAGACCAGATAACTAGGATCAACCTCCCCTTCCATTCATATTTTGTTCTTTCTCATTAAAATCTTGCAAATGACCATTGGGCTTTTCCTTTCTAATAATGTTTTTGAAATGTGGGTTTTGGACTCCATGGTTCTTATTCTATTTTCCTATTCCATTTTAGATTCTTAAAGGGGATTGCTTGCTGGACCTCTCTAGCTTCCCGGATAATAAGTAAGCACATCAAATGTTGGTCTTTTTAAAAATGAATAGAAATTGTCCATTAGGAGCAGTTGAGACAAGCTCCAAAAGAGGCATCTGTTGTGTGTGTATATATAGAGTTAATTACGTAGGGTCTTCTGTATTAATGATCATCTTGACAAGGTGAATGCCTTCCATGAAAGCCATTCCATGCATAGAGCTCTTTCTCTTGGAGTAATAATGGGATCAGGTGAGTTGAGGCCTAGGGTCTCTGAGTTAGGAAAGCTCTGGTCTTCCTGAACTAGGGCATCGTTCTCAGGTCTCGCTGTCTGTCACAACCTCTGCCTGCTGACCACTGTTTAGGCTAAGTTTTTTTTCTTCTAAGTATTGATACCGGTTGGTCTCTCCAGGAAATTCCCTGTAGAGAATTAGTTTTTCGTTTCATCCTTCTGATTGAATCGGGTGACCAGCTACCTTACGTGTGGTCTATGGATCTGTGTTCTGTTTCCTGTCAAATTATTCCTCACCAGTTAGGTATTTTCCTTTTTTGTGTTTTTTTTTTTTTTTTTTTTTTTTGGCTTTTTTTTTTTCTTCTGACATCATGGGTTCAGTAACTATGCCAGGTTACCTCTTGGTCTTGTTCTCATGTTATTGCCAGGTGGGGAGTTGTAGCTTCATTCCGTGCCAACTATAGTCATGTAGTCCTTGAGGTGGCTTTGAGTTGCAGGCAGTCCAGTTTTCATATTTGGCCTGCTAGCATTTGTTTTACAGTTATCCACCCGTCAGTTGGACTGCTTTTGGATGTCCCAAAGGGGAATGACATCCTCTGTTTCTCAATAGACGAGAAAGAAAATTAGATTTTTGTATTCCATAAAATTCTTGCCTTGTGGCTGAAATGTTTGAGGAAGTGATCCCAAGTAGGGAACGATCTGTTCATTCTGATTTTTAATTCTTCTTTGGAGTGCTGCCAGTCTTTGCTGTTTGCTAGAAAATGAAGTAGTAGGCAGTTAATAGTAGGAAGAGTCCTCATGGGCTGGACTTCAGTTTTTTGGGTTTTTTTTTGCCAGCGTCCAATCCTGTAGGCAGAAGTAAATCCCAAATGTAAAATACTCCCCATGTCCCTCAATGTTCTCCAAAAAGGATTTTACAGTGAGTACTGAGAGATAGATAGATATCTATCTATCTATATCTATCTATCTATATATCTCCTCTACTAATGAGCAATTCGTAGAGGTTAATTTTCTTTACGTATTCAATGTTCAGAGGACAAAAATCTGAGTGAATGTGTGGGCTGGGGTAAATTTACACTTCTTGCAAAGTGTTTTACATTGAAATAAAATGAATGTTTAGGTAATTCTTGTGTTTTTAATTTATAGCAAAGCTTTGAACAGAGAATATGAAGAGTATGTGCTTACTGTGGGGGACTTCGATGAGCGTGTGTTCATAGGAGATGATGCAGAAGAAGAGATTGGAACACCAAGGAAGTTTATTGCAGATCTCCATATTGGCAACTACACACCAAGGATACAAGTGGAGTCGAACCTGCAACAGCATTTTGAGACGGTATTTGTGTTATGATTTATTCTTTAACCACTTTAAGACCAGGCCTGTATCTGACACTTTGTTTACATGTAAAATTAGTACCCCCAAACATATGTATGTTTGTATGAGCCAATGAGAAGAGAGATGGGCCGAGACGTGGCTTTGTGTGAATGGATACATGGAGCAGCGGTTGCCCCCATAGTAACCTGCTTGCTGTGGGGGCACCCGACAGGAGGGAGGGGCCAGGACAGCCTGAGGGGGACTCCCAAGTTGGGCTGACTGACACAGGGGGATCACGATGCTTCCCTGCGGGACTTCAGATGGGTCCTGAACATCTTGAGGTCTACCCCGTCCAGGAGATTGGGAGCGCCTGGGTCTGATTCTCAATTCTGAGCAGGCAAACGTGTTTCTCCTAGCAGGAATACCCTGCAAACTTTGGTTTGAGATGCACTGGTGGCATCGTGGGGTCACTATAGTCTCATTTAGAAGACTGTACTGATACTCATATAGTCTCCTTTCCAGCTGTTCCCTCATCTGCAGTGCAGGTTTGCAAACTGGGAGGCTGTTGGGACTCTGGTTACTCTGGTATCTCTGGACTGGTCTGTGATGCACCATTGTGGTGCAGTTGGTCTCGGGCGTTTCCTCTTTGGGAGGGCCTCCTGCTCCAGGGTCTTGTCTACCACCCTGCGAGCTGTCCCTGACCTTTGCTGGGGTGGTTCTTGAGCCATATTTTGAGGGGCAGATAGTTGTTGAGTTTGGTTTTTCCCATAAGGTGGGCTATCAAGTTTGCCCGCTTGGAGGATATATTTCGCACCTGGTAGGCTTATATTGTCTGGTGCAAGGTTTTGGGTTTAAAATATTATATTACGGTATGGCGGTTCACATGTATGCTTCCTGAAGATGCCTGATTGGCGAAACATGTAGAGACAGAGTGTTGCATCCAGCTACATCCTGGTCTGGTGGGCACCAACTAATGTGAGTGTACTCTTGTTGGTTTTATCTATTTTTATAATAAACCTATACTATGAGAAATTTCTGCTTCTGATTTTATGATGATCTTGGATTATGGAGTAAAATTGGGAAACTATTGAGAGGATATCCACTGATGGTCCAAAGCCTTGGGGACAGCGTATTATACCTTCTTTTAATTAAGAGGTCATGGATGGTTGGTGAGTGCAATGTATTGGCATGTGGTGGAGCACAGAGGATCTGCATGAAGAAACGTATTGGGCACTAGAAGATTATGCACTGTTTTTGATCCACAATTTGGTGAGGGACTTTTTGTTTTTGGACTTGATGATCCATATCACTTTGTTTATATTACGGTATACTAGTTGGAATATTGGCTTGTATAGCATACATGTGAAGCACCATACCTTACTATAACATTTTTGTCACAAGTGATTTTGCACTTTAAGCGGCAGCTAACATTGTTTCCTTTTCATATTTTTTTCCTTTCATGTTGGTACACCACATGACTGACTAGAAATTCATATTTTTTAACGGATATATATTTTTTGCAAGAATAATTTCTCATCCTTGCATGGTAAGAGAAGATGCTTTAGTCTTTATCAAAAATGTTTGGGTTTCCCTCTGTCCCTTCTCAGTGGTTCGGGATTTTGGTCTTTGTTTCACAGGACATTGCACAACCTTTTGCTTTGAGTGCCCTTACCGATCCAGTTTGTGCCTTGCTGGCTTTTTCTTTTTTCTTTTTTTGGTCACTTGGCCATTCGCTTCCTACTTGCACCTTTTGGACGAGGGGTTCATCTTGTGCTTCTTGTTGACACCATGCGACGTGTTTTTTTTTTTTTTTTTTCTTTTTCTCTAGCAGCCTTTCTTTGGAGAGTATTCGGGACATTCCCCTGCTTACTCTTTTTCAGTGTAGCTTCTTGGTCGTCATAGCTTCTGGGCAGCTGCCTGAGCTTTCAGCCTAATTAAGTCTTTCTGTTTGTGCACATGGTTCTTTGTCTGTGCCCCTCATTTCTACCAAAGGTAGTCAGATTTTCAAATGAGCAAGTGTGGACATTTTCCTGCGCTTGTAAGCGGCAACCATATCTTGTGAGGTTGTTACACTTCCTGGATTTGGACTAGGCAGTTTGTGGTGCCTATCCACTGTGGTGTTTTTTTTTTTTTTTTTTGCCAAGGTTCCTTTCTTCTTTTGGACCTCATGGCTGGCCTCTGGGATGGCTTGGCGGCCTGTATACCAGGATTTCCTACTGGCTCCAGCGACACTGTTCAGGGGTACTCTGTTATAGGTCTGGCTTCTTCGTTCAGGCACGCTCCATTGGGGTGATTAGTGTCTCCTGTGCCTTCTGACATCTGTCATTTGTGTGCGTTGCAAGGTGGCTGCCTGGTCATCTGTGTGCATGCTCAGTTGATTCCAAGTTGATTTGTTTGCATCTTCCGATGCTTGTTGGACGCACGGTTGAAGGCTGTTGTTTCAGGTTCCTTGTTTACCCCTTTAAGGATTTTGTTTGGGTTGTTGGCTTGTTGCCTGGTTTTGCTAGTTTCTGGTTTGTCCGCCCCTCATTGAGAAACTGCTCTGGGACATCCCTATGATTGTGAATAAGAGCTGCGTCCATTAATGAAAGTTAGAGAGAACTGGTGTTTTTTTTTTTTTTTTTTTTTTTGTTACTGTAAAATCACTTTCTCTTGAGTTCATTGACGGACACAGCACCCACCCATCTATTGGAGTTTTGCTTCTATCACTGCTTGTAACAAACTGGATTATCTATAGCAGAGAGGGAGTTTTATACCAGCTAGGTTTGCCCATAGGTGGCGCTGAGTTTTTTCTGCTAGGTGTCCTACTCCTGTAGGTGGTGCTATAACACTATGGTTGAGAAAAGAGCTGTGTCCAATTGACTCGGAGAGAGGGGATTTTATGGTGAGGAACGAAAAAAATCCAGAGGCCCCAGAGAATAAAAAAAAATAGTGGTTGTTGCAATTTATGTACTACGTTATTTACTCAATGGTTTTTCAAAAGCAATTAAAAAGTAAAAAAAAAAAACACTTTAAAGAATTTTTAATGCAAAAAACCCATAATATATAACCCACATTTTTGGTAAAATATAAGATGTTATGGCAGGTAAATGGATACCTAATATGTCACGGATTAAAATTGCGCACTGTCGTGGAATAGCGAGAAACTAAAAGTTTAAAAATGTTTACAGGTTACCAGTTTAGAGTTATAAAGAAGGTCTACATCTAGAATCCTTACTCCCGCTATAATGTTCTTGGTGATACTTCATGTGTGTGGTGCTAACACTGTATCCATATGCATGACCTACGTATGTGTTTGCCTCTTCGAACGAGCACAGGGGGATGGGGGCAGTGTAAAAATGTATTTTTGTTTAAAAAAAAAAAAAAAAAAATTCCCTACACTGTCCCGTTAATATTTATTTTCCCACCTTGCGAACACAAGAAATGTATACATCCCTTGCGATAGCGATAAAGTTTGACAGGTCCTCTTTATGAAGACATCTGGGGTCTATAAGACCCCAGGTTTCTCCTCTAACCTGGAAAGCATGAGATCAAATAAACTTTTTGATCTCGTGCTTCCCAGAAAAAAACGTGGCTGTGTTCACATTTGTCCTAACCTGAAGTGAAGAAATGCTCGTCGCTTCCGGTCGTCTAGACCATAACGGTGATCTGGAACAACCCGGTCCCTGGACACCTCTATGGTAAGCCAACTGCTGGCTTCAGTGCCAGGCTCTCCACTGTGCCAGGCGAGCCCGGACCCCTTCCCGACAGCGGCTTTTAATTAGCTGCTAGAATTGCTTTTACACAAAAACTGCATTGTCCACTGAACAAAAAAAAATACAAGCTTGATGCCTGCAGCCGATGGCGGCATAAGCTTGCAAACAGACGACAAACATGTGCATTAGCCAATCCCCAAATGGTTAAAAAAAAAAAAAAAGTGTAACTTTGATTTTTAGTTTTAATTAAAATTTTACCAGTACAAGTATTTATGATGATCCTTCAAATCTTTTCCTTTTGTCCTTGTGGAGGACCTTTGATCTCCATACCAGACTGTTACAGAACATTGACTTCTGTACAGATTGGCAACCAGCCCCAACCTCATTTTAATAGTTAAGTGAAAGGAAATTCCAGGACCAGTAGAGGCTTTGAAATTGGATGATCAAATGGTGAATCTTAGTAATATTAATGGAGATTATTTACCAAAACTGGAGAATACAAAATCTGGTATAACTCTGAATAGAAAGCAATCCACTTCCAGAGTTTATTGCCAAAGCTTAACCACCTCCCGTCTGACCATTGTAAATAAACGGCCGGTTTGGTGGCAGTGCAGGGTTGGGTGGCCATTTATAAACTGCCTTCCGCCCCCTGCTTGTGTGCGCTCCCTGGGAACGCGCAGCATCGCAATCTGGTGCCCGCTGTGTCCTCTGGACACATTGGAACACCAATCGTCGTACGGGACCTCTGTGCGAGATCCCAATCATGTGATCACTGATTGGCCAATCAGTGATCACATGCAGAGTAATAGGCAAGATGTCACTTCCTACATCATTGCTTCCTACATGTGAAATATCTGAATGATCAGAGGTCACATGGTACAAGGCTATTCACAACAGCCTTGTACCATGTGATAAGCTGTGACCAATCACAGCTCACACAGTAGTTCTCAATGGCTGCAAGAATGCAGCCAGAGAGGAGGAGAAATTATTGCTTTTCAGCCTTTATGGGTGTAAAAGCAATCAGTGTAAGAAAAAAAAAAAACTTCATCACCCCCCACAAGTAGTTCAGTGTCACAAAAAATTTTTTTTTACTGAAAAAGATAACGGAATACATTCTGGCCAAGATTTATGATGAAATATTATTTATTTGCAAAATTTTATAAGAAAATCACTTTTCAAATTTTTGGACTTTTTTCATTTACATAGCAAAAAAAAAAAAATCCCAGTGGTGAATAAATACTACCAAAATAAAGCTTTATCTGTCTCAAACAAATGCTAAAAAAATAATATGGCTACAGTGTTGCATGACAGCACAATTGTCATTCAAAGTGTGATAGCGCTGAAAGCTGAAAATTGGCCTGGGCAGGAAGGGGGTAAAAGTGACCGGACTTGAAGTGGTTAATTGAACAAGCTGAAGTTAGAATCTGGCTATCATGCACAGCTGCACCAGATTCTGAGTGCACTAGTTCTTGGTAAATCTCCAATGTTTATTAGAATGTACTATAATCTGCGTCGTCCTGATTTTTAAATGCTGTATTTTTGTGCTTGAGAAAATAGGTTTTATATAATATTGCCTAGACTAAGTCCACGATATAGAAGTTGCTGAAGGCGGTCTTGAATTTAGAATGTTGATTTCAACCTTTTAGGATTTGCACTTTCATGTAGCTCTAAAATAATTCAGTGAATACATTAGAAATATTTTGTCTGATTTTGTGAGATTTCATTCAACAGAGGCGATCATTTGCTCCTTCCACTCCACTAACTGGTAGAAGATACCTGACACCTGAACCAGTTGTAAGTACACCTGTATCATCAGCAACACAGTGTGTGAGCAAACTGCAGAGCATGGTGACTGGACTCAGGAATTCCCCCAGTGAGCAGCTTAATAATGTCTTTAGGTAAGTTCACCGACTGTTCACTTTGGCACTGTCAATCAAACTCTTGGCTAAAGTTGGCTATACATGGATTGAAATTTGGCCAGTTCATTTCAAATTGCGACAGCAGGTGTGGGGAGAATATCCCCCCGCCCCCTGTCACAGGGGGGAGAACTGCAGGAGGTGGGTACATGTTACATATTACACCTTAAAAACGGGTGGAACATGTAACATGTCCCCGCGAAGGTGAACCTCTCCTTGGAGCTTGCATTGTAAGGTCCCTATCCATGCTTGCTTGCATTCATGCACACTCATTGTAGATGGTGTCAAGCTAGCATGCCCACATTCGTGCATACTCACTCGTTGTAGATAGTGTCCTGGCCTGGATTCAAATCCGGGAATCCAGTGATGCAAGATAGAAGTGTCAACCAGTAAGCCACTGTGCTGCCACCCCTATAGAGCCTAGGTGAGCAGCACATGGAGTTCTCGGTTCGTCTGGGGGTTGCAGGAAGTTTTTGTAGATGTGTATTAGATGTGACCATTATTTAGGTTTATCTGCTAGTTGGCTTAACTGTACTCCTACTAAAGTCTGATTCACTTCATGCTGCAATGGAATATTGATTCTTGTATATTGCAAGACCGGAAGGAAATTGATCTACTTGAAATTGTTAATGGCATTTTGGGCTCTGGGGTCCTGGGGGAGGATGGACCTCCTTTTTCTCCAGTGTTTCTATGTGAAAGACTAACCTATTTTGTTAGTACCTTTCTTTTCTTTTCAAGATTTTTCTTCTTCGGCCAAGACTCTCCTATACACGGCGTTTGAGCTTGTCTTTCATTGCAGCTATTGAGCACAACTGTCCTCGGTCTGGCTTTTGGCTGTGTCCTGTTTTCTGCTATGATAGGGGTTAATGCTGTGGGATTGGGCACTGACACCATCTGCTGCTGCATTAGTAACATGTTACTAAAGGTGAACTTTAAAACCTTTAAACCATTCTGCTGGAAGGTCATTCAGTTCAAAAGCAGCCGGACAACCCCACAGCAACATCATTACCATCAGGTTGGAACCAAAAGTCTTTCTGTGGCAACAGAGGCAGATTGGATCCTGTCCAGGGCAGAACGTCATGTTTCAGCCTTGTCTGCTTTGTACATCCCAGGTGACACAGACTTAAACTGAGAGCACCTTTACCTTAGGATGTGGTTCCTACACGCAGCGGTGTTCCAGGGCCTGTATCACAGGTTGGGGATTCCACATGTGGACCTCCTGCCTCCGGGCTCAACCGAAGACTGGAGAGGGTGGCTCCAGGCAAAAGGAACCTTTAGTGAAAACCGTGTATGCTCTGGCAGTTCTGTGTGAACAGTACATCCTGTTCTACACCTTTCTTCATCTGCTTTTCAGGATCGAGTTAGAGGGCATTCTGATGGTCCTCATTGCTCTGGACTGGCCTATGCAGATATGGTATCCCATCTCATTAAGGCTCCTAGCACATTGTCCTTGGACTCTGCTTGATTGTCAGGTTCTTTGGTACCAAGGACCGATTTTTGCCTTCCCTTTTCACAGGCGCTGGCTTTAACAGGAGCATCTGAGCCTGTGATTCCTACAATTTTAAAAGCTAGGAAGTCCACTTCTTGCAAGTTGACAAATCCTGAATGGACAAGTAAAGCACTTTGCGGGGAGCACAAAATTCTGTTTTTCCATAGCTTAAAAGATTGTGATTATTGGTAATTACCGCTTCCCGTCCACCCTATAGAAGAAATACTGCTACAGAGCGGCACAGGTGCGCACAATCACGTGTATATATACATGATTTTGCGTTTGTGGGTAGGGGGTGCGCGCTGCCAGCCATGGCTGTCAATCACCGGGTCCTGACCGGTAATTACTCGCCGGCGCCCAGTGGTTTCCGAAGATCTCTGACTGGGAGGAGGACTGTTTAGTTTACTAACAGTTCTCCTCAGTCAGCTCGGGCACACTGACATAGCCCCCTAGTAAAACACTCCCTGCACACAGTTAACCCTTTGATCACTCCAAGTTAACCCCTTCCTGCCCAGTGCCATTAGTACAGTGCCAGTGCTTTTTTTTTTTTTTTTTTTTTTTTTTTTTTTTTTTTCCTTTTTTTTTTTTTTTTCTTATAGCACAAAAAATAAAATGCACAGGCGATCAAACATCGCCGAAAGAAAGCTCATTTTTTTTGGGGGGAAAAAAGGACATAAATTTCATTTTGGGTGCAGCATTGCATGACTGCAATTGTCAGTTAACGCAGTGCCGTAAAGCAAAAAATGGCCTGGTCAGGAAGGGGGATAAATCTTCAGGATGGCAAGTGGTTAAAAAGACCCCTAACAGTTTGATTTCACCACAGGTTATGTGCTCGTAACCCCATGGAGAATATTCAGAATATTGTGAAGGACATCGGGCAGAGGTTTTGCCACCATTACACGCAACCATCAGGGGATCAGGCTGGTTCTCATATAGGTGAGCGTTGATATTAACAAAACCCAAGCATTGTTATTAATCATATTGTCTTGACTTGTGGAGCTTATAATCCATTCTATTTTCAGTTGAATAAACACTAAGGCCTCCTCATAGTTGTCTAGACTGTTTCGCTTTGTGCCACATTTTCAGCGATTGCTTTGCTTTATCTTCCAAATATTGTAGTATTTGGTACACAATGAAACCATATCAATCTCTCACTGTGCTGGTTTTAAATAGGATATTTGTACTCGCCAGAAATCTTTTTCTTTGAGTCCATTGAGGATTACAAGAAGTGATATAGAGATATATACAGTCAGGTCCATAAATATTGGGACATCGACACAATTCTAACATTTTTGGCTCTATACACCACCACAATGGATTTGAAATGAAATGAACAAGATGTGCTTTAACTGCAGACTGTCAGCTTTAATTTGAGGGTATTTACATCCAAATCAGGTGAACTGTGTAGGAATTACAACAGTTTGCATATGTGCCTCCCACTTGTTAAGGGACCAAAAGTAATGGGACAGAATAATAATCATAAATCAAACTTTCACTTTTTAATACTTGGTTGCAAATCCTTTGCAGTCAGTTACAGCCTGAAGTCTGGAATGCATAGACCTCACCAGACGCTGGGTTTCATCCCTGGTGATGCTCTGCCAGGCCTCTACTGCAACTTTCTTTAGTTCCTGCTTGTTCTTGGGGCATTTTCCCTTCAGTTTTGTCTTCAGCAAGTGAAATGCATGCTCAATCGGATTCAGGTCAGGTGATTGACTTGGCCATTGCAGAACATTCCACTTCTTTCCCTTAAAAAACTCTTTGGTTGCTTTTGCAGTATGCTTTGGGTCATTGTCCATCTGCACTGTGAAGCGGCGTCCAATGAGTTCTGAAGTATTTGGCTGAATATGAGCAGATAATATTGCCCGAAACACTTCAGAATTCATCCTGCTGCTTTTGTCAGCAGTCACATCATCAATAAATACAAGAGAACCAGTTCCATTGGCAGCCATACATGCCCACGCCATGACACTACCACCACCATGCTTCACTGATGAGGTGGTATGCTTAGGATCATGAGCAGTTCCTTTCCTTCTCCATACTCTTCTCTTCCCATCACTCTGGTACAAGTTGATCTTGGTCTCATCTGTCCATAGGATGTTGTTCCAGAACTGTGAAGGTTTTTTTAGATGTCGTTTGGCAAACTCTAATCTGGCCTTCCTGTTTTTGAGGCTCACCAATGGTTTACATCTTGTGGTGAACCCTCTGTATTCACTCTGGTGAAGTCCTCTCTTGATTGTTGACTTTGACACACATACACCTACCTCCTGGAGAGTGTTCTTGATCTGGCCAACTGTTGTGAAGGGTGTTTTCTTCACCAGGGAAAGAATTCTTCGGTCATCCACCACAGTTGTTTTCCGTGGTCTTCCGGGTCTTTTGGTGTTGCTGAGCTCACCGGTGCGTTCCTTCTTTTTAAGAATGTTCCAAACAGTTGTGGCCACGCCTAATGTTTTTGCTATCTCGCTGATGGGTTTGTTTTGTTTTTTCAGCCTAATGATGGCTTGCTTCACTGACAGTGACAGCTCTTTGGATCTCATCTTGAGAGTTGACAGCAACAGATTCCAAATGCAAATAGCACACTTGAAATGAACTCTGGACCTTTTATCTGCTCATTGTAATTGGGATAATGAGGGAATAACACACACCTGGCCATGGAACAGCTGAGAAGTCAATTGTCCCATTACTTTTGGTCCCTTAACAAGTGGGAGGCACATATGCAAACTGTTGTAATTCCTACACCGTTCACCTGATTTGGATGTGAATACCCTCAAATTAAAGCTGGCAGTCTGCAGTTAAAGCACATCTTGTTCATTCATTTCAAATCCATTGTGGTGGTGTATAGAGCCAAAAATGTTAGAATTGTGTCGATGTCCCAATATTTATGGACCTGACTGTATATATATTATATTTCAAAATGTATTCTACCAGACATGTTATACTTGCCTGCTCTGCGCAATGCATAGCATTCTCTGAATGGGACCTGTGCTGAGTGGCCAACCTCCTTTAGTCACAATGCATCAGACTTGCTGCTCAGCCTGTGATGCAGAATCAAGTGGAGATCACTGAGGTAGCAGGTATCTAAGCTACCCTAAATTGTATTGAACGGACAAGGGCACACAGCTTGGTGACACTGATGTTGATTTTTAGCTGGCTGAATCTTGGCACACTGCTGTTTCTTCTAATCCAAAGTAATTCACCTAGTTTTTATCAATGAATAAAACAAATTGTTGCCATATGGGGTACCTATTCTCAGAAGTGGCTCCTGATCCTGGTCTTTGACTTGCTAAAAATGTAACTTTGGTTCCAAAAAAAAAGATTCTTGACCAGTGCAAAAATAACCAAGTCTTCAATCCAGCAATGACAATCCGTATGCTACAAAAATCTCCCTGGACCATTCCTGTCAGGGATCCCTTTCGTGTTTGAATAGCTCAAAATGACATGCACGTATGATAAATGCATACATAAATCTGACATCAGATGACTCATCCAGAATTTTGTGTTTTCAGATTTTGCAGTTAACCGTTGGAAGTTGGCAGAAATTTTATATTACAAAGTTTTGGAGTTGATAGTTCTCCAAGAAACGAGACGCCTTCATGGAAAAGACCTAACTGTAAAGTGCTTTTTTTTTTTCCCCCTTTTGTTGGATTATTTTTAAAATGGATTTATAAATGGAATTTTTCGATTTGCATATAATCTCTACATGTAGCGCAAAGGTGCCATGGCAAGTAGCTGAAAAGGTTAGATATATTCAGGTATACCACCATAGATTCTCGCATCACTCTGGAGAAATATCAGTGCCATAGTTTATCCAGCAGGTGTTCAAATCAGAAATGACCTTCCATGTTTCCCTGTTTATTTCTGTAATACCTAGCAGTTGTAGACAGGAGTCAGAAGATCTTGGATGTATGCTTATAGTGGAATTTCCCCCTAACCACTTTAGGGCAGCATTTGTTTTTATCCTATGGATCAGAATTCAGCCATGCAGAAGTTCTTCGGGGGACCAGGAGATTGATCCTTAAGTGTGGCTACTGCAATAGTCTTCAGGGGACTATTCCTCATGAATGGAGTGATGTTTTGTGGTGCAGGAGTGATAAGGATTTACTAGCTGCTTTTGAAGAATTACCTTTTTGAACGGTTTCATATTTCTTTGCGGCGGTGCTATTTTTGTTCTTGCTATTGCTTTGTCCTAAATCTTATGTAGAATGCACTGTTTTTACCAATAGGCTGGAAAAAGAAATTTGTAAGACTTCCCTTCACCTAGGACATCCAGCCAAACTGGGATCTAATCCCTGGCCCAGAGAGCTGTTCTGCTTTTGGATTATTGCTCTTCCTTCTAGGAATGTAGCATCTACCCCCCCCCCCCCCCCCCCCCCCCCCCCGTGAAGGCTTGTGGAATTTTTCTGTCCACAAATTTCACATAAACTGTATGTAATCCAGTGTATTCGGATAAGTATTAAGGAAAGGGATCCCTAAACCCTGCCCTAAATTGACAATGTATGTAGTAGTGCTGGAATTTTTAAATAGCTCTATATCACTTTATTGTTTTTGGGCCAGAGACATTCCTACTCTGAACCAGGGGCGGACTGACAACTCATGGGGCCCCCGGGCAATAGGGGATCATGGGGCCCCTGTGTCCTTGCCCAAACTCAAAAAGGCCTATGAAAAAGGTGCCAGGGGCATCTCATGGGGCCCCCTACTGACCCCGGGCCCTCGGGCAGTGCCCGAGTTTCCAAATGGTCAGTCCACCCCTGCTCGAGAGTTAGTATGCAGCCCAAAAAGTACATAAATGGTGGCTTCTAGTGGGAGCTGCAATTTTGTTGTACCATAACCTGTTCTAGTTAGATAAATGACAAAACTGACAGGTTAGAGAAACTAGACTCCTTTTTTTTGTCTGCATCTTTAGCCCTGCCCTTCTCTGTCTTGCCACCAAGATATTGTAAGACTGTACAATTGAATTTGTAGTACGATGGTGTATGAGAGAACATGATCAGTGAGGTGGTATTGCTGTATACCAAGAGTAAACTTTTTTTTTCATTATTATTTATCTTTAACATTTTTTTTTGTTTGTTTTAGGCTCTACTGGAGCAAGACATTTTCCACCAGTCGCTGGCAGCTTGCTGTCTGGAAATTGTGCTTTTTGCATACAGCTCTCCCCGTATTTTTCCTTGGACCATTGAGGTTCTCTGTATAAGCCCTTTTTATTTCTACAAGGTAAGGGTTACAAATATGTATATGCAAGTTGTAAATAGAGTTCTGGATTTGCTGAGTCATTCTGGAAAGTGAGGGGAGAAAATGCTCTCAATGTCTAAAATCTTTGCTTTTGCCCAGGTTATTGAGGTTTTTATCCGCTCGGAAGATGGATTGTCCCGGGATATGGTGAAGCACCTTAACACTATAGAGGAGCAAATCCTGGAGAGTCGAGCCTGGACGAGTGATTCCAACTTGTGGGAGTTGCTTCAGGCAGCCCAGTCTGTTCCAACTTGTGAAGAGGTAGATTAAACTTTTTCATATATGTTTATAGTCAAGTGAACACACTAAGCCATTCTTCCACTTACTGGTGATTCCAGACGTAAGAATACCCTTGTATGGGTATCGTATATTATAATTGTCAGTTATTATATGTGTGCATTGAAAGTCACATTAGGACTTCTGCAATTTTTCATTTGCTTGATTGTTGACGCTAAGATGCTGTTCTTCTTTGTGTAGTTCATTCTTTGTATAGTTATCACATTACCCACTTCCCTTCCTTTCTCATAACATAGGGGTGGGGATCCTTGTATCCTTTCCACAGCAGCCGGTTTAAAAGATTTTAACCAAGCTGCTCCAAGGCAACTGCCTAGTTCAGAGCTGCATGCTTTGACCTTTCAGGACATGTCCTTTGAAACCTTTGGTTTTCAAGGCAGGCCTGCATCTGGCTGGAAGAAAATGAGCAGTAGTAATGCCAGACTTATTCAGTGGCTCAACCACAAACTGGTATTGGAATAAGCAGCACATTAATTGTAAACTACCCATAGGCTTTTAAAATGGGAAAAGGTTATATTGGCTGGTTTTTTTACACATTTGTTTTTTTTTCTATTTCAAGGTTATCATACCTAGCAACTTTGAAACGGGTAATGAAGCTGGTTTAGGACATCTTCCTATGATGCCGGCTTCCCCCATCATTCATCCACGTTTAAAAGAAGTGCGCACAGATTTTGGAGGCTCCTGTAGGCGAGGTAATCTTGGTATTCTGTAAAACGTATTTCTGTTTCCATTGAATGGTTTTGTGAACTTGTTCCTTGTGCATGCACTGGCATTTAATATTTTAGAGGTTTTAAACCATGTTTTCTATGTATTAGATTGGCAGCCATTGTCTCCATTGGCTGTTCATGAACGGTATAATTCTCCTGCCGCTGGTAGTGCCAAAAGGAGGCTATTTGGAGATGATGGACCTAAAGAGTCGCCAGTGGAGAGACTTCATACAACCCCAGAAATCACTAGAATCAGAATTATTCCTAGCCAGCCACCTGAGCAGCTGTGTATGTCACCAGACAAAACTATTCTATCTGCACAGAGGCTAAGCGCACCTTTAGCAGGTAAATATTGGAGACTATCTATATGGCCTTTTTATGTTTCCATGTGAAAAAGCTTTTGTGTTCCATAATATTTATCTTTTGTTAATGTTTTTAAGGAGCTCCTAATGATGGTGGGCACCCCTCTTCTCCAGTAAATGAGCATGGAATTCAAACCCCCCTTACTGCCCAAGCTCTGATCAGTCCATCCACAATACGGCAGATCTTCCGATCCCAAGACGGGTGTCCCACATCTGCCAGCAAGCCCAAGAGAACTGGTTCTCTTGCTCTGTTTTTTAGGAAGGTGTGTATTAACTGGACTGAGTGGCTAGTTGCACTGGAGGTTTGTAATATCCTCAGTAATGGATGATCTTTCTTGCCTGCTCTTAGGTTTATCACTTGGCAAGTGTTCGTCTGAGAGACCTGTGCATGAAGCTTGATTTGTCCAATGATCTGAGACGTAAAATTTGGACATTGTTTGAATACTCATTGGTACACTGTACAGACCTAATGAAAGACAGACATCTAGATCAGCTGCTTCTATGTGCCATTTACATTATGGCAAAGGTTAGATATTCTCCTTTTAATTTTTGTTTGGTTTGCCTTTTTTTTTTTTTTTTTTTTTTTTTTTTTTTGCTGCTCAATAGAATTCCCTAATCTTTATAACAGTCTAAGCCAATATGTCCTATGACTTAATTCGAAACTAGGATCTTGGGCGGTCCACATGAATAATGTTCGTCTGCTTTAGTGCTGTCCTCAAGTTGTTGTGTTTTTTTTGTTTTTTTGTTTTTTTTTCTTCTAGAAAGTCCTCTTAGGTTGCCCAAAAGCAGAAAGTGTTGTATGGCTTTTAAACAGACCTATATCCTTATAGTTGGGCTGCTTTTACACTGATCTTTTACTTCCGCTTTTGCGTTAAAAAAAAAAAAGTGGAAGAAAAACGTGTGACCAGACCATATATTCCTCTGGAACGCTTCACACTGATCCATTGCAGGTCAGGTACGTCCTGCTTGCTGCAATTTAAAATCCATGGAAAACGTATTAAAAATGCATCAAAACCGCACCTGCTGTGTGTTTTTGGTGCGGTTTTTGAGTCATGTGTCGTGTTAAAAATGCACTGCAAACACGGATCAGTGTGAAAGTAGCCTTAGTTAGAACAAGTGAAATTACTGCTCTGGAACAAGCAGCCCAAGATTACATGAACCGCAGCCTTTAGGCTCTGCAACCAGTCCCACTTTAACCTCCCTAGCGGTATGATTATGTCAATATTTCTGTGCTCAAAGCGGTACATTTTTTTGCATGGAAATGTGTTTTTTTTTTTTTTTTTTTTTTTTTTTCATTGTTGGCCTGTATTTTTAGGAATAACTCACTGAAATCTGTCCAAACAAGAGTCTAGTAAACATCCCGGGTATGATAAAATTTGAAACACGAAATCATAAATTATAATAAATAATCATAAAATAATATAATAAATTTAATTAAATAATATCAAACCGAAAACACTGAAATTTGAAACATAGCTCCAAGTTTGCACATCACTGAGCTTCGTCACAAAATCGTTTTCAATGTCTGATGATGAATTTCCCCACAAATCATCACTCAATTCTGCAAGTGGTTCTAATTTACTATCGCTGTTCTCTAGCTGGTCTAAAACCGCTTTTGACCTAAAGGGACTCTTTTTGGGCGCCATGAACTTTTCTCAGTTTTCATGCAGAAAGAACAGTAAAAATGCAGGCAGGGCACAGGACAAAGCACTTGGGACAAAATGTATGTGAAATGGTTTGATACAGTAATGTTTTACTATGTGATTTTAATGAATTTATTGAATGTCACTTCTTAAAACTTTTACATTTCCTGCCGGTTACGTCCTGACGCTCGCAGGAACCGGAACCCGGAAGACAGATGCCGGCATCAGCTGGAGGAAATGGCCAGGGACGCTGCAGGGGGGACATCGCGGGAGCGCAGGACAAGGTAAGTGATCACAGAGCCAAGTCAAACGTGCAAGGGTAATTCCCGAGTTAGCTCGGGGTTACCGCTTTTTTTTGGGATCACAGAGCAACGCTGCAGGGTATTCCCGAGTGTAGCTCGGGGTTACCGCTTTTGGCACTGATAATTAATCCCGGGCTACACTCGGGAATACCACCAGGGAGGTTAGGTAAATGAGTAAGCAGAGAGATGAGATGAATTTTATTTGCAGTTGTTATTTATCCTCTAACTTTGAAGCTGACCATCATTTAGCAGCAGTAGATTAATTTTTTTGTTTAAATAAAACCATTTACTGCATTACTTGGTGTTATAATTAACTTGTATTGCTGATCTTCTATGACCTCACAGATCACAAAAGAAGAGCAACTGTTTCAAGATATTATGAAATGTTACAGAAATCAACCTCAAGCTCAAAGTCATGTAAGTTCATGGACTCCTCTATACAACACCGTTCTACAGCTCTGACGACTTTGTTCAGGTTGTAAATCCACTGTTCAAGTTCAGTATGTGTGTTTTTAACATAAATGGGAAATAATTCTGTCTTTAGGTGTATAGAAGTGTTTTGTTGACTGTTCCTCAAGTGGAAATAGATGAAGTTGGAGCCAGCCAAGATGTTGAAATGATTGATTTTGGTAAGGAATTAGAAATTACATCTTGTAAAAGTTAAGTCTGCTTACATGGATTGAAATTTGTCCGGTTCTATTTTGACTTCTCATGAATGTTTGTTGGAAAATTCCTGTTCAATCGGTGCGTACAGCCAATAGCCTGTAGCGCTGATCAGTGTATTCCAATGTTGTGGTGAGTCCCACTATCACAATATAATGACACAACAAGGAGGAATAAGCGTGTGTCTGTGTGTGTCTGTCTCTGTATATATATTCAAGTATTGAACATGTCAACATTGTTCTCAAAATATATTTCTAAAGGTGCCATTGACATGATCTTTATATCACATGTAACAACCCATGCAATCCATACATACAAAGAAACAAAAACAAATATGTTCAGAAATTAAGTTTTATGTGTAATAAAATGTAATGACAAAAGGAAAAAGTATTGAACACATGAAGAAAGGGAAGTTCAAAAAGGCATGTACCAAAAAGCCAAGACACCAGCTGAAATCTATCAGCAATCTGCCCCTTGTCAGTGCAAATTAATAGCAGCTGGTTCAGTCTCAACTGATGGCCTATAAAAAGGTGTCACACGAACATCTCATGATGGGTGTAATAAAGGGTTAGCCTTATTACATAAAAGTTCCTATGTTTAAGCTTTTAGATATGCTGATATGGTACAATTATTTCAAAGTATAACAAAGAGTTGACTTAGCTTGGTTTAAAGAGGTATTACAGATGATAAGAATAGATAAATACAGCATCATTCCAATCCAGGGGGAGTTTGCAACTTCATTTGAGGTTCCTGAAGGCGACAGTCCTTGAGTTATACTTCAATATGAAACTAACCCACTGGCTCTTTATTTTACAAGCATATATATAGTAGTTGAAAAAAATAGTCAAAACTAGTTTGAGCCACACCATGGAATGAAAAGGTCAAACAACTTCCCACAGGATAATGAGACAATATGTTTCAGTATACACGAGATATATAGATAGAGATGTGTGTAATTTTATATATCTGATTTCTTCACAAATAAAACAGATCTACTACTAAGTTTCCTGTAATTCGATAACTATTCAAAACCCATACTACATTCCACCCCTTGGTTTTACAAGATACTTGGTTTAATATTTAAGGTTACCAATATATAAATGTTTAATATCAAAATGTTCTACTTAGTTTTTTTTTTCTTCACTTGTACTCTAATTTAAACATTTCATCCTTCACATTTTCAATTATGGTCAGGTATATATGCGGAACTCATCATTAAATATGATCCGTCCCCCGTATACGCCACCCCTTGGGTATTTTTTACATGTAAAGTAATGTATAAAAAGTTTTTTTACATCCTTCCACCCCTCGTCTTATCTAAATTTCTATCTCTTTACCCACTTTCTCCATCTGATTTACCTATCCAGGAAATAGCATTTACCTAGGTTAGGGCTTAAAAATATCCAAATTTCAAAAAACAAACTACATGTTGGGCTAACAAAAGAACACCAAACTTTTCCTTTCATGGTAAGCACAGGAGCAGAGGACTGTATTTCAATCAAACTTTCCTTTGAAAAGTTTCTAGGCTTCTACACGCTTGAAAAGTCCTCCATATCTGGTGATGGACAGTAGAGTCTTAGACACTCAATGATCAGATTGCAACTGTAGCACAGCAATTGAAACGCTGTAGAACTCAAAGAACTGTAGAATACAATGTCCATTTTATCCTCGGACAATTACAGTTCACAAATCCTAGATGTGAAGGTACTTGATGATGGAACTTTAGCTCATTTGCACAGACCTTTGGGTACTTGACCACCAGAGCAGATAGAACAGTTCAGGTGGAAGGCAGGTGGAACTTGCAACCTGCACAAACAATTATTCTGCAGTGCCTAAGTCTGTATAGATGGTTGCTGCTGTCAGAAGTGTTTGTCTCTTGTCTGCAACATGCTTCTGGTTAACATCTAGGCAGGTGTTACCAAAACATTCCATAATTAACAACCATGCCTATATAGCCCATTATAAATTTCTGAACAGGCAAATGAATGATCACGAAGTGGTCTGGCCTAACACTAAAGGAAAAGTCAGCTTTCTACATTAACCATTTCAATACCGTGCAATTTCACACCTTCCTGCCCAGGCCATTTTTCACGTTTCAGCGCTCTCACACTTTGACAATTGCGCGGTCATACAACATTGTACCCAAACTAAAATTCACGTTGCCAGAAGGTTTGCTGTGTCTCCCAGCACAGTCTAAAGAGCATGGAGGAGATTCCAGGAGACAGGCAGTTACTCTAAGGTGCAACGCATAGGACATATGAAGTAAATAATAAAGCAATAACGTGACAAAAAATATATGAATTATACATGTATCTCGGAGCAATCAATATGATAATAAACAAAACAAAAAAGTCACCAGAGGGCTACTTGTTAGGTAGCAAAAGTAACAAGGTCTGTATTATCCACTCTCCGACATCTGTAATGGTCCAGTTGTATTCTAAAAGGAATTTCTCACCACACGGAGCTCGGAAAACGGTGTATATATAGTGTAGTATTTATTTAAAATTATGCATAAAAGCATTCCATGTAGAAAACAGTAAATTATGCCATATACCAAGATGGCTGCTGTTCCGAAGCACGGACACGGCGTGACGTCAGCACGTAGGCTCCACCCAACGCTTTTTGTGCATACGAACGTCCTCAGGGGTACTCCAGTTGCTGATGTCAGAAGCTAACCATATTTAAATAGCCTGCGAGGCGCTCCTCTAATTACCGGGCACCATTTTGTTGTAGCCTATGCCAGAAGCCTTTTTTTTTTTTTTTTTTTTTTTTTTTTTTTTTTTTTTTTTAAAGGAACATTTAGTAAACCTAAATGTACTGAGAAAATAACCCCATTGCATTGCTATAGGACACTGAGTATCTTTATGTTCACCTATTTCGCACTGACCTAAATACCCTGCTTTTTAACCTTCCTAGCGGTAATCCCGGTGTGACTTGGGGTTAATTTACAGTACCAAAAGCGGTCACCCCGAGCCACACTCGGGATTACTCTATAGCTCTTCTCCTGCTATCCCCCGATCCTTACCTTGTCCTGCGATCCCATGATATCCTTCCGCTGTGTCCTGCGGCCATGTCCTCCAGCCGATGCTGGCATTTGTCTTCCAGGTTCCGTTCCCTGGGAGCGTTGCTACGCAGGGGGGTGGAAACGGGAGATTCAAAAAAGTAAAAATGACATTGTAATCTGTTAGGATTACATTACTGTATCAAACCATTTCACCTAAATTTTGTCCCTACTGCTTTGTCCAGTACCCTGCCTACACTTTTACAGTGATAGTGAATTAGAATCACTTGCAGAATTGAGCGATAGTGATTTGTGGGGAAATTTGGCATCAGACACTGAAAACAATTCTGCGACTGAGCTCAGTGATGGTTTAATTACATTATTGAATTTTATTATTTATATTTTTTATACTTTATTATATTTTGATTTTGTGTCAAACTTTCATACCCGGGATGTTTACTCCTGTTTGGACAGATTTTAAGTGAGTTATTCCTAAGAATTACAGACCTACAATATAAAACAGCACCTGTGCGCAGAATCACGTGTATATATATGTCATTTAGCATTTCCAGGTAGGGGGCACGCCGTGGTTGGCAATCACCAGGTCCCGGCTGGTAATTGCCCGCCAGCGTCCAGTGATTTACCAAGCATCTCTGATGGGGAGGAAGATTTTTTTGTTTACAAACCAATCTTCCTCCCTGTCAGCTCGAGCACGCTGCTTGGGATGGCTGTGCACAGTACAGCCATCCCAATCAGTGTGCTTACAGTGAAGAGCACACCCCCCGCCCCCCCCAGTAAAACACTCCCAGCACACAGTTAACCCTTTGATCACCCCTCATGTTAACCCATTCCTAGCCTGTGCCATTAGTACAGTGTTTTTTTTGTTTAAGCACTGATCGCTGTATTGGTGTCACTAGGGTAAAAGTCGCTAAAAGTCACTGATTGCCGCCATTACTAGTAGAAAAATTCCATTATCTATACCGCCATTTGTAAACGTTATAACTTTCACGTAAAACAATTAATTTACACATATTGGGATTTTTTTTTTTTTTTTTTGGCAAAGTCGTAGCAGAATACATTTTGTTCTAAATTTATGACTAAATTTGTTTTTGTTTTTTTTTTTTTTTACAAAAGATTTTACTGGACATGTTTAATAGCAAAAAGTCCAAAATACTGTTTTTTGTTTTTTTCTCTCAAATTGTCGTTTTTTGTTTTTTTTCGCTTATAGTACATAAAATAAAAACCGCACAAGCAATCAAATACCACCGAAAGAAAGCTCAATTCGTGGGAAAAACGTAAATTTCATTTGGATGCAACATTGTATGACTGCGTAATTGTCAGTTAAAGTAATGCAGCGCTATAACGCAAAAATGGCCTGGTCAGGAAGGGGTAAATCTTGAGGGCAAGTGGCTAATTCATATGTTTTTATCATGTTATTGCTTTCATTTACTTCATATGTCCAATGTGCTGCACCCTATATGTTTGTTTGTTGTTTATTGAGATCTGTTGTCACGATCTCTGGTGCTAGCTGCGTCTACTTTTATACTGCTCACCATTTGCATTTTGAGGCAGTTACTCTAGGCGAGCTGGACAGGGACAGGGCCTTAGATGATCTTTAACCCATCAGCAGGAGCGGTATCTGCTCCTTTGTGCAAGGAGCCGTGCCAGAGCCCTACAAAATGACCTCCAGCAGGCCACTGGTGTGAATGTCTGTCTCTGACCAAACAATCAGAAACAGTCTTCATGAGGGTGGCCTGAGTACCTGACATCCTCTAGTGGGCTCCATGCTCACTGCCCGACACCAGAGAGCTCGATTGGCATTTGCTAATGAACACCAGAATTGGCAGGTCCACCACTGGCACCCTGTGCTTTTCACAGATGAGAGCAGGTTCACCTTGAGCACATCGGACAGACGTGAAAGGGTCTGGAGAAGCCGTGGAGAACATAACGTTCTGCCTGTGACCTCTTTCAGCATGACCATTTTGGTGGTGGGTAAGTGATGATCTGGGGAGGCATATCCATGGAGGGACGCACAGACCTCTACAGGCTAGACAATGGCACCCTGACTGCCATTAGGTATCAGGATGAAATTTTTGGACCCATTGTCAGACCCTACACTGGTGCAGTGGGTCCTGGGTTCCTCCTGATGCATGACAATTCCTGTCCTCATATGGCGAGACAATGCAGGCAAGTTCATGGAAGATGAAGGAATCTTTTAATGGCCCCCACGCTCACATGCTCTAAATCCAATAGAACACCTCTGGGATATCATGTTTCGGTCCATCTGACGCCACCAGGTTGCACCTCAGACTGTCCAGCAGCTCAGTGATGCCCTGGTCCAGATCTTGGAGGAAATACCGCAGGACACCATCTGCCGTCTCATTAGGAACATGCCCCAATGTTGTCAGGCATGCATACAAGCACATGGGGGCCATGCAAACTACTGAGTACCATTTTGAATTGTTGCAATGAAATTTCAGCAAAATGGACTCGTCTGCTGCATCATTTTTTCACTTTGATTTTCGGGGTGTCTTTGAATTCAGTCCACTGTAGGTTGATAATTTTTCATTTGCATCAAACACTGGGGCATCCTTGCGCTCCTAACACATCACCCAGTCCATATCAGTATAGATATCTAGCACAATATTTTTACCCATTCAGATCTAATGTGTTTTCAAAGTTCCTTTAATTTTTTTGAGGTATGTGTGTATATCTCCATTTGTCTGAGGATTTCATTTTGGTATGCATCATTTCTATGGCAATTCAACTTGTGTGTATGTAACCTGTAGCTTAAACTATGAAATATAAAATGTTTTTGTATACATTGGGGCACTCTGCTCCTTTTCAGATGTTCTCCAGGCTTGTCTTGGCTGCTTGTTTACAGAACTTAGAAGCTCAAATTTAAACAAGCACAAATGAACTGAGCTCTGTACCAAGACACAAGAAATCCTAAAGCAAGCCAGCTCTGTTCTGTTTGGAAAATCCATAATGCTCCATTATTAGAATTCTGTGCCATGGGTGCACACAGTTTATATATTAAAACTATATAATATGCCAGTTTCTAACAGGAAAAAAATGGACCCCAAACTATCATAGGTCCTTCAGACACAGAAAGTGTGATTTGTAGAAATCATAATTACCTAGGTGGATGTAGCATCAGTCCGATCGGTCACCGCTCTGGCTGTACTGGAATTGGACTGGCCATGCCGTCTTTTTGTACACGTTTGTAAAAGGTTTAACTAATTTTCAACATTCTACTCCGATACCGGATACCTTTCCTGTTTTATGTGACCATGTACAACACTATTGCTTATGTATTTTGTCTGCAGTAAATTCTTTGTGTCTCCTTTCTCAGAATCTGATGATTCTCAGAACTTAAACAACGTTGGTGATGGCACTGGCAACCAAGCAGAGAGGGGAGATCTCATCACATTTTATAACAACGTCTACGTGGAACGAGTTAGATTGTTTGCACTCAGAGATACGCAGCCAACAGTGAACATCTGGTATGTGCTTTTATGATACACCCAAAAAATTACTTCAATGCTAAAATATACACTAAAAGTAGAGCTATACATTATCTGTGCACCACGAACCAAAAGCGCTATTTAATTCATTTTTAATATTCAAAGCAAACCCACCCATCCATGTCTCCATGCAAGAAATCGCTTAGAAAAACACTACTAGCATTTCTGGTCATGATCATCTTGATGCATTAACTTCCTGGAAACAATCTGCCCTGAAGTCAGGCATGCTGGCATAAGGGTGTGCTTAGCTGAGACTCCTCCCCTTCTGAAGACTCCTGGGATATGACATTTCCCTATGCATGGAAACTAGGAAATAACTAAAATGATAAAATAAGTTCAAATCAAATATGATGTACCTTCCTATTTACTAATGCTGGCCGTATAAGGATTCAAAATACTCAATGTTGAAAGAGTGAAGTTCCACTTCGATCAATGTATCCAGTAGCTGATTTTTGTTTAATAAAGTGGCACTGTGATAGATGTGCAAGCAGATGGAGGCAAGAGGTGCATGCCACCTTGTGGACTTATCTGTTAAATTCTGTTTTCACACAGCATCTCTGCCTGCCTGCCCCTCCCCTCTGCTGCTGCCCGTTCAAGAAAGCCTTTCATTTTGTGAATGAGTTCACCAAATACAAAGGGGAGGCGCAGATACAGCAGCTGCATGCGACTTTGCAGAAGCTGGGAATAGAAGATTCAGCGTCATAGCTACAGAACTATAGTGATGGCTATCCTTCTGGAGTTTCATAAAATTGCCAGATGTAAATTAACGCGTTGCACTTTAATGCGTAGTGTGTCTGCACATTTTTCAAAGTGGCTGAATTCCTGGAGTTCAGCTTTAACTTATCTTGTGAACTCCAGCTGAAATATTACACTAAAAGTTGAATGCCGAGTCTCAACACTAAGATGGATAAAGAAAAGAATCAGAGAAAACACAACTGCAATACAGCTGCAAACACAAAGTGTTCCACCACTCAAAAAGAAATCAAAACCAATAGTGTTGCTCTATCGGTCCAGCATCAGTGCACAATATTCTAAACATCAGTACTTGAGTGGAAAAATTTAAATAAAAGAATCCTCACCCACCTTACGCAAAAATATAAGAAACAAATAATAAATATGTAATAAAATAATCTCTCATATATTATTGAGTTGATCTAGTAAACATCTGACAGGGCCCCATTTGCTAAATGGTGCTTTACCCACAAATTAAGTGTGTGTGTGTATTATATGTAAACCAATAAAGCTGCCCAGGTGTAAAATTAATTTTTTGGAAAAAAGTGTGACAATCTAAAAAATTCTGCCAGTAAATACCTGGCTGACCATATAGTACAATTTGTGTACAAACTATTATAGTGAAATATAGTGTATTTCACATAGGAATGAAAAAGTGAATCATAACTGTAATAAATATTGATGTTGAATGCGAAATGACAGTCCACAGTGATAATTAAAAAGTCCAAAGGACAGGAAATCCAAATTAATCTTCCCCTTAGTTCACCGCTGTGTCCACCATCATCCAGCATGCACGCTCACCTCCAGGCATTGACCTATGAGTAACAGGTCAGAAAATGCTCTGATGCATATCCAAAATTCCTCCATATGTCAGGACTGATGGAATTCCACTCCAACCAATCTCTGGCTTGGGGGTGTACTCAGAAATAAGGGGGCTTCTCATAGTGCAACCATTTTTATTGAGTAAAACTTATCTACTTGGCATAAAAAACCGCACTCACATAGATGAGAAGGGTAAAAATCCCTCTTACAGCATATCAAACGGAGTATCAAAGATGGCAGCGGTTGTTGCCAGAGTGGAAATGACGTCGCCACGCTTCCCTCCGACGCGTTGCATCACAGGTTGTCTTCAGGGATCCTGGGTCTCTGCCTCCTCATTGGCTGAGACAGCAAGTGGGAGCCATTGACTGCCAATCAGTCAGATTGACATGTAGGTTGTGTTGAGGTACAAAACTGATCAGAGTTAAATAATTACAGCTAGCATAGAGTTAATTGTCATGTGGTTATAGCTTATCAAAAACGTATAATAAACAGATGTTTACTCTTGTAGTTTGATGTGCCCCTCAAATAAATAGTCCAGAGACCTAATTCCAGGAACCTCTTGCCACAGGTTCTCCAAACATAAATCCTATGTTTCGGTAAGTCAGAATTTTAAAGTGGTTGTAAGAGCTGAAGGTTTTTTACCTTCAATTATTCTATGCATGAAGGTAAAAAAAACCTCTGTGCAGCAGTGCCCCCAGCCCCCCTCAATACTTACCTGAGCCTCACTGCGATCCATCGATGTGAGTGACCGCCTCGGCTCTCCTGGGTTTCTGCCTCCTCATTGGCTCCTCAGTCAGAGCCAGTCAGCTAATGAGAGGGGGGGGGCAGGGCCAAGCCACGGCTCCGTGTGTGAATCACAGAGCTGTGGGTGCCCCCATAGCAAGCTGCTTGCTGTGGGGGCATCCGACCGGAGGAACCAGGAGCGCCTGTGGGGGACCCGAGAAGAGGAGGATCCGGGCTGCTCTGTGCAAAACTGCTGCACACAGTAGGTAAGTATAGACATGTTTGTTATTTAAAAAAAAAAAAATGCAAAGCATACATGTGAAAGGAGAAAAAAAAAAACAAACACAGATTAAAATTCTTTTAATTAAGCCATTTTACAGCCATCTTATAGTGTGTACTATAAATATTTATTTCTTAGGTTGTGGCTCCTCCTCTGTCTCCATTCCCGAGCATCAAACAGCGACCTGTCTCTCCTCGCCGTGTCTCTCAGCAGCACTCAATTTATGTGTCCCCGCACAAGATGACTGGTTGCCTGACCCCCCGCACTGCTCTACTCTACAAATTCAATGGAAGTCCTTCTAAAGTAAGTTGTTCTGTGAGATAAAAGATTCCAAAAGGGGAGGTAAATTCTGTAAGATTACAGATGTTTGAAAATTCAAAATGAAAAGACTGTTTAGATACCTTGACGTCAATATACACTTTTCATACAGGACAGTTATTAGAATGTTTCCGGCACCACAGTCCTAGATTCAAAATGATATACAAAATTAATATAGGTTGCACAAAAAAGTATTGATAGCCTGCAAAAAAACCCCATTTATTTAAAAGGTAAATCGGTCAATCCTTGTTATTGGGATCATGGAAGTCATTTGTTAATCTTTCACAGTCTGAACTGTGTGCCCAAATCAAGGAATCCTTGGTGTAAATGTCCAACTTGATGTAAAACATTTTGGTGGATCAAAAAATTGATTACAACTGACAACAAAAAATATGAGTTTTTATATACAGCAACAAAGAACGTTAAAGTATTAGTGTGATCTTTTACCACATATGGTATGATGTGATATTGTGTGTGTATATATAAATAAAATATTTCACTTTAAATGGCAGTGGGTGGGTGAATTCCAGATATAAATGACAATTCATAATGGCTTTAATGCGCAAATGCTCATGGAATGACTGTATGTGGGCATCCATTACCATAATCGCCCTCTGGCAGCCTTTTCTATATGTCCAGAAAAAGACCCTTGTAGCACATGTATACAAGGACCATACAGCATGAATGTTGGGCTTCTGTAAAACATGTAAATTGACTGTTCCAGGTTTATTTTGACAAGAACAGTTACAGTTCCTCTGATATATAACACTTATCAGGAATATATTGTAAAATATCTGCCAAATTATCATCCATGTAGCACAAGAATGTTGTTTGAAAAACAAACCCTGTATGTAGACCTAAACAGCAGGAAATGTTTCTTAGTGTGACTACAGGCTGGCAGTGGGTGTTGGAATTATGACCATTGTCCCTATATACAATCATTCTATGAACCAATGTTTGTCCAAGCAATAATGAATTGCCTTTCTATATCTGGGATTCATCCATATATGACTGGAATATTTGCTACCCATACCCCATGGATTACAATTGAGATCAGATTTCATGTTCTTACTATATGTAGTCAATATCATATTATCTGTTAATTTGCATGTTCTTTGATGCTTTACAAGGAGAACTAATTTTTTCAGTTCAGCTTTTTGATCCAGCAAAAATGTTTTCATCAGGTTGTGACCTTTATCACAAGGATTCCTCGAACTGCACACACATATACAATTCAGACTGAAATATTCAATGAATTGTACTTGAACGTTCTCTGCTCCTATAAATAACAGGGATAGATGTAAAATGTGGTAGTGTTTGTTGTTTGCTTTTTTTTTTTTTTTTTTTTTCTTAACTGCTTCTAATAGAGTGGTCTTTCGCGGCTGCCAATATGTTTTTCAAACTTAAAACAATCATTGTGCATCAGTATGAAATGGCCAAAGTACAACTTTGCATTTTGTGAAATTTGTTATTTAACTACCTGCCGACCGCAGATAGCCGAATGACGGCTTCACTGCGGCCGGCCAGTTCTGGGTGGACGTCATATGACGTCCCCCCAGAATGCGCGTGCGCGCACCTGGCGATCTCCGTGATCGCTGTGTCCTACGGACACAGCTGATCACGATGTGGTAAAAGGCCAATCACAGCGGCCTTTTACCACCTGATCAGCGGTGTCCAATGACACGCTGATCAGAGGGAAATGCAAGTGCCGGTTCTCGGCTGCACTTTCCTCATGCTGTCAGATCGTGAGGAAAGTACTGCCGAGAACCGGCAGTTGTCAGAGCGGGGATCGGCACCGATCATCAGGGCACTGATGATCAGTGCCCTGATGATCGGTGCCCAGCAGTGCCACCCGCAAGTTCCGCCCACCTGTGCCCAGCAGTGCGCCCACTAGCTCCGCCCACCTGTGCCCAGCAGATCACCCACCTGTGCCCAGCAGTGCACCCACCTGTGCCCAGCAGTGCCACCCACCAGTGCTGCCCACCAGTGCAGCCCAGCAGTGCTGCCAGTCAGTGCCCAGGGGTTGTGCCAGTCAGTGCCGCCAGTCAGTGCCCAGCAGTGATGCCAGTCAGTGCCGTCTATCAGTACCCATCATCAGTGTCACCTATCAGTGCTGCATATTAGTGCCGCCTATCCGTGACACCTCATTAGTGCTGTCTATCAGTGCCGCCTATCCGTGCTGCCCATCAGTGCCGCCTATCAGTGCCCATCAGTGCTGCCTCATCAACGCACATCAGTGAAGGAGAAAAAATGCCTGTTTGAAAAATTTTATAATAGAAACAAACTTTTTTTTTTTTTCAAATTTTTTGCACTTTTTTATTTATAGCGCAAAAAGTAAAGCGCCCAGTGGCGATTAAATACCACCAAAAGAAAGCTCTATTTGTGAGAAAAAAATGATCAAAATTTCATATGGGTACAATGTTGCATGACCGCAGCAATTGTCAATCAAAGTGCGGCAGCGCTGAAAGCTGAAAATTGGCCTGGTAAGGAAGGGGGTATAAGTGCCTGGTAGGCAAGTGGTTAAGCACTAGCCTACAGGGCACTTATACCCCCCTTCCTGCCCAGGCCAATTTCCAGCTTTCAGCGCTGTCACACTTTTGAATGACAATTGTGCTCTAATGCAACACTGTACCCATATGAAATTTTTATTTTTGAGACAGAGCTTTCTTTTGATGGTATTTAATCACCTCTGGGATTTTTATTTTTTCTTAAACAAACCAAAAACCACTGAAAATTCTGAAAAAAAAATTTTTTTCTTAGTTTTCGTTATACAATTTTGTAAATAAGTGATTTTTCTCCTTCACTGATGTGCACTAATGAGGCTGTAGTGATGGGCACTGATAGGCTGCATTGATGGACACTGATAGGTGGCACTGATGAGGAGGCTCTGGTAGGTTGCACTGATGGGCATTGACAGGCATCACTGATGGGCACTAAAATGCAGCACTGATACATACACTGATACATGACACTGATATATGGCACTGTTAGGCGGCACTGATGGGTGACATTGAAAGGCAGCTCAGATGGGCACTGATGGACACTGACAGGTGGCACTTCTGGGGCCACCCTGATCATCAGTGTCCTGATGATCAGTGTACATGTCCCCTCCGCAGAAAGCCGAGCGTGATAGCTCGAGAGGAGAGAAATGCTGATAACTGGCATTTCTGTGTTTACATGTTATCAGCTGTGATTGGACACAGCTGATCACATGATCGAGCCGACATCTTCGGCTCTTTCCGTGATCCGCTGTGTCCGAGGGACACAGCGCATTGGTGATCGTCGCGCTGCGCGCTCCCTGAGACGCGCATGCGCGGTGAGAATGGAAGGATGTCATAATGATGTCCTATCAGAACGAGAGAACCGCCTTGTGCTCGCCATTGTACTTTATGGCGGGCGGAAGGTGGTTAAAGCTTCCCTCTTGACATCCCAGTAAAAGCCACATACTCGAGTACTTAACCTTAAGTCCCACTTAGAAGATCTTCACTGGTCAGTCCTGCTTGTCACTGCACTACCTTTGCAAAATAACGCATATTCCATGCTCCAGTCATTCCATGAATACAGCCCCAGCCATCAAGGAGATTGTAGAGCCATAGGAATTAAAGGAAGCAGTCAGGGGCCACACAGTGAAGATCTCTGTAGCGGGCTGTATGTATGCGTTTAGATTTGAGTCTTATGCTGGGGAGGCTACTGAGAAAAGCTTCAAAGAACAACTTCACAAAAAGTGAAGCTTTTATATAGGGATAACTATGATGCTTACTGAATCACATATATAGAATGTTATGAGATGGCTGTATACTCCATTTTGTCTCTGAAATGTTTTTATAACTTCATTTATTTCAAAGTTGTTCATTGCAAAACACATATCTTGATTGTCATAGTGCCATTAGCCATGTGTAATATTCTAGGAGAGGTGTGGTCCTTTAATGTGATCTGTTTCTATTTGATAAGAAGGGTTATATAAGCAGGGACAGACTCTGAAGAGTGGGATACAGGGATGGTGGACACTGTATTCCCCATATACATATATGCAACAATATAATTGGGAGCCTTATCTCGTCTGAAGGTAATTAATCAAGTTTCCTTTTAAAATAGAGGAACTTGAGCAGGAAGTACTATCCTCACTGCACGCTATCCATTTAATGCCAGATACAGTGATGTACTTTAGTGCTTGTTGAACAGCCTCCATTCACCTCTGTGGTGAACAAAGTATTTTATAAAAGCCTAGCAGCTGCTGCTCTCTAACTTGAATGGGTACTAAGGCAGACTTTGAAATTTTGGCCTGACAAACTGTTGCTGAGCTGTGAAAGTATGACCGCTCTATTAACCATCAATGGGTTGATGAATGCATGCAGCATATGATTGTGTTAAGCAGTACATTGCATCTCTGTGCAATCTCCACTCCCTTTTTCTGTAAGAGGCCTAATGAATTTACCGTTTACTTTTGTGGTCTTGTATTTAGTAGCAGTACATGTATGAATGTAGCATACGCTATGGAAAGCCGTGCCGTATATTTATTTATTTTTTTATATCCTTTGTCTCCTAGCTGACAGTTACTTTTTTCTTTTTCAATTTAGAGCCTGATGGATATAAACTGCATGATTAAACAGGAACAGAGCAGCCGTAAGCGAGCAATAACAATTGACAGTGATTCCGAGTCCCCAGCTAAACGCCTGTGCCAGGAAAACGATGACGCCTTGTTAAAACGTCTTCAGGATGTTGTTAGCGAAAGAGCTAACCACTAATGCCTAGAAGTCTTCCTGTGCGTCTTTTACATGTACATTGCACTATGTTACAGCTAACTTCTACACTGGGACTTATTTATTTTTTAAAAAAAGTGCTGCCCATAGCAGCCAAATGTTTTTCTTAAAAGCTTATTTTAGGAACAGTGGCAAGTGTTTAGGTGGCTGCGACCAACATTTCTACTTCTCCTGTTCTAAAGTTTTTATAAAGGAGCTCCACGGTTTTAATCATTTAGTATCTCTTGACGATAGCATTAATTCCTTGTATATAAAAATGTCTGCTGATGGGGCTCTGCATTTTAATTCTGGTGCTAGAACACAAGCAAGAGCTCCCGGAAGCACCATGGGAAAAGGTGTACTGCATTAGTGCCATCCTTTTTAGACCCTGTCTAAGAGGCCCAGTAGTGACCACTGGGTATTTTTATTATATTTTTGCACAGTCTACAAAATATGGCTTTTTTACTTAAGTGTCAGTCAACCTGGTTTAGTTACCAGATCTTTTTATGCCCAGTATGAATTGTGGGTAGCTGAATGAATTGATAAGTTTTAAGTTGAATATTTGCTTTAGGGGAAGGTTTGTCTTTTGAAGTTTCAAGTGTGTGTCTAGGGGGGGAGAAATTATGCGTTACATGCACATATCCTTTTTCGTTTCTTTAAAAACATTGCAGGTACAGGAAAATCTTAATCTGCTACAAATGAGTTTCTTAATTTCCAAGTTTGCACTGACAAACCTTAACTGTAATGTTACAGCACATAGGAAATGTACTGTAATCCTTGTCAGCCCTTCCGGAGTTTTCCAGTCCTCGGGGGAGAACGGTGAAGGGCTGATGACGCTTCTTGGGATTTCAGTGCAGCAGTGGCAGTTTCTTCAGCTCATTAGTGGAAGGTAGAAGCTCACTGGTTTTCTGTCAGGATCAACAAGCATTTTTAGCAGTTGCAGCCACTTTAAAGAAACAAAACACAGAGAAATATGTGTGCATTGCAAAGATGTACTGAATGCTTGGGTTTTTTTTGCCCAGACATAACTTTTTAAATACATTTTTAAAATATGAAGTTATGCAAAGTTGCATAATATGAGATAAGAGTAAGTAGCATACTGCATTGCAATATCCCTATAATAGTATGCTAGCTTTTTATGTGTATACATGGTTTTAGCAAACCTTAGTGTGGTTTTAGAATTCTCTTGTTTGAGAATGTACTGTTCTCAAGACACTAGCTTTTGCCAAGTACATCCAATAGCTATAGATGTGAGTCTCTCTTCTTGGAACCAAGTATGTTTTTTATTAAAACAAAATATTTTAGTCTTCTACAGCAAACACTTTACCCAGTTTATATTCTGCTTTTTTAATAGTGAATCTCATCCTCTCGACAGGCTCATTTTACTGCGCATCTTAAGCTAGACAATGTTGTGTAGTATCTACACATTCCTTACTGTAATAACTTTATGAACTGTACATATTGAATTTCTTTATTGGTCTGATTCTTATGTGGAGTGATATCTTAAATACTCCTATAAGGGTCTCGGGTTTCTTGTAATTTGCACATTTGTATAAATGTACAATAAAGGCGCCTTTCCTTCCCTTCAGCTGTTGTCTGTTTTATAAATAATTATTTTGCACGTAATGACGGATCAAGGTTGTATGCATTTATAAGTAATGGGTACTCCTCACTGGTGATGTGAGTGTAGGGATGGGGAATGGGCTGGGAAGGGTAGAGTGGTTTGCCTTGCTTTGAATGTGGAATATGATAGTTACAAGCCAAGGAGCAGTACACTATGATTTTACCAGTTGCAAAGCAAGCTGCTTCACGTTTTAGCAAAGTATATGTATGCCACTTTTTTTTTTTCCATGCATATTTAGACTCTTGCTTATGGAACTTTATGCAGATAACTAAAGATTTTCCCAGGTCTGTGTCAGATTTGGCACAGAAAATGAGACTGAATGGTGGACATTTTTCACACATCAAGGCAAAGCTAAACAGGACAAGTCAGGCTGGTTATTCTAAAGATTTACTGCATTTACATAGGTTTAAATTTACACTGACTAGTTGCTGTAGCTGTTTTCTATGATTGCAGCTATAAGAGGCATATCCTTATTCTACCTACTAGATTTGAAGTGACCTTCAGGCACTGGAATGTGTGTATTAAGATGCTTTCCACACCCTATTCTGTTACCAAATTGGCCACTGAGTGGTAGGCATTTGTTTAATCCTTGCAAACTCCTGAGTAGCTTACCCTTAAAGTGATTTTTTTTTTATTATTATACAGAAAAAGAGAGAGTGTACTCACTTGCTCTGTGCACAGAGTATTGCACAGCGTGATCCCTTACCTGCTCTTTTTCAGTCCCACACCTGCACTCTCCACTCTTGCATGTATCCTTATAGCAAGCCATATGCTATAGGACACACGTGCAGGCGCTCTCCCGAGCTGGGCTGTGTGTCCATAGAAGTACAAAGCCTGTCTTGCTCATGCCCTCCAGGTCCCTCCTCACAGGTTTTGACAAAAGCAGGAGTACCAATGGCTCCTGTTGCTGTCTGAGTCTCTTGTGAGACTAGGAAGAGGGAGGAGAAGAGAAGAGCAAAGTGCTGGGTCAAGAGCAGTCTTGGGTAAGTGTAGAGGGAGGTTGGGAGGCACAACAGGTAGTTAAATGTGTGGTTTTTGTTTTTTAATGGAGGAATTGCATTAAGGTAACTTTAACTTTAGAACTACTTTAAGTCATTCAGGTGCAAAGAATGGATTAGGTGTACATAATAGATTCCAGTCGTTTGTCTTTTTCAGTCTTGCCCCTGCACCTTTAGTTTTCCCCAGGGTGATGGCCCTGTGTTTTTGCCCTGGTGCCTTGTCTTGTCACCCACCTTTAAGAGAAACTTAGACCATTTTCCCCACAGATGCTCATCTATGTAGGCTGTTCAACAATGTCTCTCTGTTTAGGTTTATGTTTGAACCTCATCTTGTGCCTGAAATTGGTGGAAGGTGAGACTATTTTGTACTCCTGTTAAATGACAGAATGGACCCCAAGATCTGGAATGTCTTGAATCTGGACTGGTGCAAACACCATAAGATGTCCCCTCATCCCTAAGAGGTGGGGGGGGGGGTGTTCCTCTTGTGAGCTGAACCTCTGGGCAGGCTTGATGGACTTGGAAGGTCCAGGGCTTGCAACAAAAGAAGGTTCCTGGTTTTGGAAGTAGATGCCTGGGGAATAGAAATATTAAGAAACTTTCTTGTGGGTTTAGAGCACTTCCCCCCCCCCCACTGAATTCCTCTCTGAATTTATCAGTGGATTCCCTAAATAGGAAATGTTGCTTTCAAGTTGCAAGCAGGTTCAGCAGACCAAGGTTTTAGCCACAAACTCCTACAGATATCCACAGAGATTAGGAACATTCTAGAGACTTGGTAAACCACATTATCTAGAACATCAACGCAAAACAATGCCGATGGCATCATCTGTAATTGTCCTAAGACAAATGTCATCAAAGACAGGTTCATGTCCTCTTAGTTAGCAACCATCTGGAAAATGCACAATAGCTGGCTGCAGGGCAGGACCTGCAAGGGTAAAGATGACCTTTAAGAGGGCTTCCAGAAGCCTATGAACAGAATCCTCAAAATAGGGAACATCCTTAAGAACTGTAAGGTGTTCTTCCACAGGATAAATCTCTGCAAAAAGCTTAGGAGGAGTGAAGACCTTTTCAGTATTGGGCCAGTCCTCATAAACTGTACGTTTACTGTGTGTAAGAAAAGTCTTTCTGCACTAATTTGTTTGTTCCTGTAGGGCCTTGTCTATGCTGTGAAGAATCAGGAGCTGATGGGTAAGGACTAGAGCTGTCTGCGTCAGTTTGTATGTCCACAGAGTGCATTTAGCATGATCCTGCAGCTTTGTACATCATGAAATACAGGGGAGGGAATATCCCCTGCAACCTTTGCTCCAAAAATACTTTCATAATATCCTCAAAGAAAGTAATTTCTGAATCCTGAACAGAATCAAGGGGAATAAAGAAAGTGTAGTGTTTTTTGGCCTTTGGAAACCAAAGGTTCTACAAGCGCCAAGAGTTTTCTGAATAATTTGGACATTTTGGTGGGCATGCTGTTATCAGAAAGGATGCATGTTGTGTGCCTGGCTGGGAGCCACAGTCAGATAATGGGAGCAGTGTTACAATAGGACTTTGCTCCGGGACAAGAAAACCGCTTTGTTGTGTCCTGTAGGCCTTCTGCAGAATGCATGCTATTTGGACCTTTTGCCCCAGTTCCCTTGCACCTATGATCTGCTGTTAAGTGAGTGGATCCCCACGGAGGTACTCTGGAGTGCAAAATGGATAGGATTGTGTGAGGATATTGGAGGTTGGCAAGTAAGTGTCATCCAGGAGGCATGACACAGTTGCACTTACGTCTGGACAGGAGAAACATTTCCCAGATTAATTTGCTTGTGCTGAGAAATGTTTGACACAAGATGGCAGGGATTAGCACATAAAGTGAATAACACAAGAATGTTCTGCCTATAGAAATGCAAAATGTGGTATGCTCTGCATATTGTGTTTGTAAAAGCCAGGAGCTGGTGCAGATACACAGGGGGAACCATATCTTATCCACAACAATGGACCTATTAGAGGTCCAGGCATCACCTATCATGTTGGACATACCCCCAACGGGGTCATCCGGGTCTGGGAACTATAGAAATAGACCATGGCCCTAGACCTATATAGCACCTAATGGCTAACTACTTTTCAAGTACCAAGGTAAGCACCTAACGCAGAATTGAGTGCCCAAAGCAAACATTAGAGGCCGACCCCACAAAGTAAGGTCCAGCTATGGACCCCAAAGTACACAGCAAGTGTAACCAATCCAGAAACTGATAGCCCAGGGCAGTGAGCAGTCAGATCCAGATCTTGATAGAAGATTAAAGCAATATTGAACACAAAAGCAAAAATGTAATGTATTGCAGCTTACTGATCATTTAGATGTAGTGACTGCATTAGTTTTCTTGTTTAGGTTCCCCCCCCCCCCGCGTTTT